AATCATCAACCTTCTGGTTCCAACCGGTCTGGGGTCTACATGCTGGTGGTCAGCATGCAGTTAACGTCTTCCATCTGGTAGGGGTTTTAGTATCTGCAAAACAACTCAAGGAGATGGCTCAGAATATTATCTATAGACCTTGAGGAGGAACCAAAGGTCCATTATTTTGTTTAATGGCTAAACTATTATTAGTTTGTCTCACTTGACTGTTTTCTTTTGTTTCTGCACCTTCTCACTTCTCTGATTAAGTTTGCTCTTTGGAACTTGGGGAAGGCGTAGGAGGCTAAAGCTTGTGTACAAACAAGAGGTGGAGGACATGGGGTGTGTCCCCAGGAAGGCCCTGCAGGGTCCTGCTCAGTTTCATCATCACATCATACCAGGAGCTATACCATGTCACCAACAACATTGGCTTTGATCACTTGGAAGGCGATATGTCCCATGTTTTCCCACCATACCCTATGTTTTTTCCCTTTCCATACCCTATTCTTTGGAAACACTGTGGATTGTCTTACAGAAATGCTCCTTACAGGAGTCCTTGATGGCCCAGAGGGAGATGTCATGTGATAAAGCACAGGCATTGACAACCTAGAGTTGGAAAGTGATTTTGAAGAGTATACTCTGAATATGAAGACATTTAGGAAGCCTTAACGGATTCACTGGTTTTCTTTGTATGTATACACAGCAGTAGCATATAATGAAGATCTCAAGACTCTTCAAAAGGATATAAAATAAACAGTTTAAGGGATCAAAAGCATTGTGTCGTAGTTCACTTGTCACATTTTCCCTCTTAGAACACAAATTATCATTGGGCTAATACTGCCCCCAAGGGGGTGAAAATTGGTTTGTGGGGAGGAGGTGACAAAAAAAATCTTAGATATTTCAGTGGTTTGTGGCCCTCCAAAGCTTAACCTTCCCTGGCAAAATCTTATTCATCAGCATTTAACTTCTCTAATTAAATTAAATTAAAATGGTCTCTTTAGGGGGGAATGAGGGGGGGAAAATGGTTGAAAAAACACTTCCTTAAGGTTTATAAAACAGTGATGGATCTAATTTGAGTGGATGGCCTCATAGTGGTTGACAAAAGCAAGGATCAAACACTACTCAGTGTGCGTTGGATTATGCCTGTGCCTCAGTTTCCCGACCTATAAAATTAGGATGGTTTACATAATAGGGTGGCTGTGAGAGTAAATTAGATGATCTCCATATGAGTCCATATAAAGTATTAGCTGTTATTGTTATCATCATCATCACTCCCATTTTATAAAAGAGGAAAGAGAAGCTCAGAGAGGTCAGACCACTTGCTCCAGGGCACACAGCATTGGAAGTGCCAAAAAGGAGCTCCAAGGCTGCTGGGTTGGCTTGGGGAAGACAGATGTCCACACCTGAATCTTTCCTGTCCCTCCCTGCGGAGTTGATTCTGTCGTGGACAGCCCCACAAGTAAGCTGGCGCCACTTGGTCGCCCCCATTCACTGGCACAGGGAAGCCCTTTCTTTTTCTTTTTTTAAAATTTGTATTGGGGTACAGTTGATTTACAATGTTATGTTAGTTTCAGGAGTACAACAAAGTGAATCTGTTATATATATATTTACATCCACTCCTTTCTTGGCGATCTCATCAATTCCGGTTCGCCAAAGGTTGAGCCTATGGCTGGAGAATTGGGCAGTGGTTTGCTGCCCCCTGCAGGTAGAATGGGAAAAGGCAGGCATCGTGCCCTCCTTTGTCGACCCCTTCTAGATTTGGGGGCGCTTGCTTCTCTCTTCTTTTTTCTCCTCCACCCCCATAATGCCCTCCAAAAAATGTCCCTGGCACAATTTGGGCAACAGCCGTCCAAATTTAAATGCACAAATGCACATACTCTTGGACTCAGCAATTCCACTGCTACAGATTCAGGCCACTGGCAAAAGTCAGATAAGATTTGTGGGCACCTAGGTAATCATTGGTTGGGGAGGGCTTCACTCAGCCACAGGACATCCAGCTTTGAGGAAGGTGGGGTGGAAGTGTACCTGCTGTCTCGTAAAGAGCTTCAAGACATTTTGATAAGTGAAAAGCTGAAGGCAGAAATAAAAGAACATCGCAAAGATATATATGTTGGCATATACACATTTTGGGCTGCAAAGAATCAAAATGAACTTGTTAATCGCTTTGGAAGGAGGTGGGAAGGGAAGCTTCTACTTTTTTGCTTTCCTTTTTCTTTCTTTTAACCATTTTTTTTACTGTGTGGTTTTCTTACACAGAACATGTGGATTTATACATATATCTTAATGTCAGCAAAGGATTATGGGAGATTTGGGGCTTCTTCCCTGTTTCTCTCAGTGTTAAAATCCCAATGATAAAAATTTTAACTCAATACATGAAAGCAGTCACCGTATTCTCATGGGGCAAGGGTCAGTGACAAAGAAAGTATAGAATAAGATCCCATTTTTATTTTTTAAAATTATAAATAATAATAGACTGAAATAGAAATCAAAACACTAACAGATTTTTTTTTCTGGATGGGAGCGATTTCTACTGTCTTCTTTGGGTTTCTCTGTATTTTTTTCTATTACGTATTCCACAATTAATGTTTGTATATCTTTTGTAATCTGAAAAAAAATAGATACACAGCATTGTGAATGCATTTAATGTTGATGAGTTGTACAATTTAAAGTGGTTACAATGGTAAATTTTATGTTTTATGATACTTACCTGGTTGGTTATTGCAAGGTTACTTTTCTTTAGGGGATGGTAGGAGTCTATCAGGCAGATGACCTAACTAGTGCTAACCAGGCAATTCCTGATTGACTACTTTGAGATTCCATTTCTGGAAAAGCCAAAACTGTAATTAAGTCTCAGTTTGGCAATGTGGCACTTAGTATAAGTGACTCCATTTGAGGTCTTTCCATTTATTGATTTGAGGCTTATTTACTACATAAAGTGAGTTTCCTCCATGTCACATGAAAAAATGAGAGGAGAGCCATGGGGCTGACAGCATCTTCATCCAGGGCAGAGGAAGATGATCCACATTGAAAAATATAATGTTTAAAAGAATGGAAGGGAACAAAGATAGAACTGTGTTTTGGTTATGACAATAGTTCTGCTTATTCAACAAACAAATTACTTGTGATATCAGGGAATTAAAAGCCCAACTCACTGGAGTCCCAAGTGTTATGACACTATTAGATCAGGTTTTTTGGTACACCTTCTGCAACTATTTTCTCTTAACACAGCCTCAAAGCCAGAGTGGCTGAGAATCAACATTTTATTCTGAGGAAAACCAAATCTTGCTACAATTCTACCTCAAGAAGCAAAGGCATCTGGAGTGAGCCCAAGAGAAATGAGAAATATGTCCATACAAAGATATATACTATGTTCACAGAAGCTCTGTTCGTTATAGCCACAAACTGGAAACAACCCAGATATCTATCCACAGGTGAGTGGATAAGCAAGTTGAATACATTTATATATAATTGTGTTACCGAACCAAACTTGGGTCGCTTGCTTGTGTGCAGTAAAGCCAACCTACTGACACTGGATTGTGGTGAAGGAAAGTGTAGCGTTTATTGCAGGGTGCCAAGCAAGGAGTCCAGGTGGCTAGTGCTTAAAAGGCCTGAACTCCCTGAAGGCTTTCAGGGAAAGATTTTTAATGGCAGTGTGAGGAAGGGGGATTGTGGGGTATGTGATCAGCTCATGGACCTTCTTCTGATTGGTTGGTCAGGAGGCAATTGGGAGTCAACATCATCAATCTTCTGGTTCCAACAGGTCTGGGATCTATGTGCTTGTGGTCAGCATACAGTTAACTTCTTCTACCTGGTGGGGAAACCCTCAAAGGGTATGGCTCAGAATATTATCTGTAGCCCTTGAGGAGGAACTGAATGTCCTTGACTTTGGTTTTGTTTTTTAAGTATTTATTTATTTTGGCTATGCTGGGTCTTAGTAGCAGCATGCGGACTCTTAGTTGTGGCATGCATGCAGGATCTAGTTCCCCAACCACGGATCGAATCCAGGTTCCCTGCATTGGGAGCGCAGAGTCTTAGCCACTGGACCACCAGGCAAGTCCCCTTGACTTTATTTAATGGCTGAACTATTATTACTTTGTCTTCCTTTCTTTCTCCATTGTCTCACTTCTCTGATTAAATTTACACTTTGGAACTTGGGGACAGCCTAGGAGGCTAAAGCTCTTCTACAAACGAGAGGCAGGCAGAAGACATGGTGGGTGAGTGGGTTGGGGAGGGTGTGTTCCAGGAAGGGTCCTACTCAGTTACAATGGAATAACACTTACCAATAAAAATGCAGTGCTGTTATACCCAACAACAGGAAGGATCTCAAACACTCTATGCCCAGTGCAAGTACTCTAACTCAAGAGAACACATGGTTTATGATTCCACCTATATGAAACTTTAAAAAAAGACCATTATGACCTATAGTGAGAGAAAACAAATTTGGAGTTACCTGGGGAAAGGGATGGAAGAATTAACTGTAAAGAGGAACAAAGGAATTTGGGGGTGAAGGAATGTTATCTTGATTCTGAAGGTGATTACATAGGTGTATAAATGTGACTACACTCGTGGAAGGCTACAATTTAAATGGGTGCATTTTACTCTTTATAAATTGTACCTCAATGAAATCGATTTTTATTTTAAATACCACGAACATATATTTCACATACTACCGTCATTTACCAAAAGCTGAAAAACTAAGGAGTACTTATTAGGCTTACAAAATTAGGTTATCTATTGAATCCTCAAAATATGGCAATAAAGGAGAACAGAACATTCAAATAACGCGCAAAACACTCAATAAAACGTTGGGTTTTAGGAAACCGGTGCTTTGTCAAAAAGGCTTCCCAGATCTAGGTGCCCAAGGCGGGGGAAATTGGAAGTGGGCGCCAAAGCCGGAAGTGTGGCAGGAAACAGGATGCAGAAGGTGGGGACGCGCTTGACTCTCCAAGTCCCGCCCTGAACCCGGAAGTGTGGCCCACGTCCAGGTGCAACTACGCATGCGCACAGCCTAGATCGGCCAATCAAAAGGAAGGAAGGCGGGCGTTCGGGTGAAAATCGGGAAGTGTGGCCTTTTTACGTTCCGGACGTTAGCCGAGCGCCATGGAGGCCTACGAGCAGGTCCAGAAGGCGCCCCTGAAGCTGAAAGGCGTGGCAGAGCTCGGAGTGACTAAGCGGTGAGTCCTGAGAGGCTGTCCCTTTGAGCATCTTCCTGAGACCCCGGAGCGTAGCCCTCTGACCCGCCGTTACCCCGTCTCCCCTCCCAGGAAGAAGAAAAAGAAGGACAAAGACAAGGCGAAACTGCTGGAAGCGATGGGAACAAGCAAAAAGAACGAGGAGGAGAAGCGGCGCGGCCTGGACAAGCGGACACCGGCCCAGGCGGCCTTCGAGAAGATGCAGGAGAAGCGGGTAAGGCGGGTGGGAAGCCTAGGGATGTCCCGCATCGATGGCCTGGGTCTCCTGGGGTGGATTCAGAGGCAGGACCCGGAGACCCGTAACCGGGGTCTACCCCAGAACGCTCCGGGGAGGGCAAGCGGTCAGTGAGGACCTTAATTCCGGGGAGAAGATGCTGCGTAAGAGAGTAAGAGTCCACGGTGGGGGAGCTCCGAGGACAAGAAGGTATTCTGGCCGGATTGGACTGCAGAGGGGAGAGCTAGAGACCCGGCTTTGGATTCCAGCGCTGTCGCTCGTTTGACCCGTAACACTGGTCAGTGACTCACCTCTTGATGCCTCAGTTTCCACATATGTAGGGGTCAGGATCATGCTTTCTCCTAAGAGGGATGGAACTTTGGATGAGGTAACGCGGGCAAATGGCGCTCAGTCTGGCATAAAGTCAGTGCTCAATGGATATTAGCTGTTGACATTAAATGGGCATACTCACCGCTGTAGGTCACCACGAAGTGTTCCCATGACGACTTTGGCGGCTTCAAATACGTTGTATGTTCAGGCTCTGAAAAATGATTTCTCTTAATATTAAATACTTAATAAATTTGGGTGGCGAAGGGTAGGAGAGGTCAGCGTAGGATAGATACGTTCAACCCATTATGTTTGGGGGGAATAATCAGTCTAGGTCAGTGGTTCTCAACTGGGGGCCATTTTGTCCCCCACCTCCACCCCCAAGAAGACATTTGGTAATGTTTAGAGACATTTTTGTTTGTTACAGCTTGGGTGGGGCGGGGGTGGGCGGGGATGCTGCTCAACGTCCTGAAGGGCTTGAGACAATGTCCCTCAGAGCAAAGATTGATCTGGCCCAACATATCAGTAGTGCCCAGGCTGAGAAACGCTAATGGTGGTCTTGGTGATTTGGTCCAGTAACGTCAGGAAAAAGTTAACTCGTTACTCCCAGGCCTAATTGAGTCATAGGAGAGAAAAAGGAGAGAGAGAGAGACTCACTGGCTTTGACACGACAGACCTGCGTCCCATTCTGTCTCTACCACTGTTGGTGGTGTAACTCTGGACAAGTTGGCTCACCTCCCACACCTTAATTTCTTCATCTGTAAAGTGGGACTCAAGTCCCAACCTCATAGGTGGTGAGGATTTAACAAGTGAATGCACTTAAGCCCGTTCCTTAAGGTTATAGTCAGAGGCAGGGCTGGGATTTTACTGCTGGAGTTGGGGTGGAGGGGGGAGAGGCTCATGCAACCATCAGAGTGACTAATAATGGCCCCTCAGAGTAGGGCAGCAATAGTGGAGGTGATGGAATGTATCGGGTTTGGGATAGGTTTTGAAGGAAGAACAGCCAGATTAGCTGATGGGCTGGGTGTGGGCTGGGAAAAAGGAATCAAGGATGACCAAGATTTTTGGTGGGAGAAGCTGGGTGAATGAAGGTGCTGTTTTACTGAAACAGGAAGGACTGTAAGTAAAGCAGGTTTCTAAAGTGGGGGGAATCAAGATCTTCGTTTTAAAAGTTAAATTTGAGGTGCCTGTTAGAAACCCAAGTGGAGAATTCTCATGGACAGTTCGATACCTGAATCTGCAGTTTAGAGGAAAGGTCTGGGCCCAGATCAACATTGGGGAATTGCTCTGGGGACTGCATGAGATCCTTTGAGGAAGGATAGTGACAGAGGAGGTCTAGGATCTGACCCCTGGTGATCAGAGGGTGGCAGAAAAGAAATTGCAAAGGAGCACAGGACGGAGGGATACCAGGAGAGAGTGTGTCCTTAGGAGCCAAGTGGAGAAAGTGTTTCAAGAAGGAAGACGTGATCAATTGTGTCATATGCTGGCAGGAGGTCTAGGCGGGTGAGCACTCAGAGCCCTTAGCTGGCATTTGGTATGAGAAGGAGGAAAGGCTGATTAGAGTGGATCCAAGTGGGGGCAGGGAAAGGCAGAGATGGAGACAAGGATTAGAAATTAATCTTGGGAGATTTGCTGTCAAAGGGAATGGAGAAATGGGCCTCTAGCTGGAGGGTAGAAGGTCAAGGTGAAGTTTTCGTTGTTGGCAATGAATACCAGAAATCCTCCTGAGGGTTTGGTTTGACCCAGCGGAGGGAGAGAGGGGGGCAGGAAGAGAGAGAGAGAAAGAGAGGGGAAGAGAGGGAGGTACATGAGATGGATGAGAGAGAAGGGAGCAGGTGTGGACAAAGCGAGGTGCAGTTGGGAAATGCAGATTCCCTTGTGGAAGAGTGTTGGATTGAGCACGTGGGCTTTATAGCCTGGACAGCTGGAAGGAAGGCTCCAGCCTGGTGGAAAGGATCAGAGCTTGGCATTTCCAGCCCCATCACCCACTGTGCACTCTGGTCCTCATTCTCTCTTGTCTGTGAAGTGGGGTTTACAACAGCACCCATGATGCCCTCTGAACTTGGTGCGTGGAGTGAGAAGAGGGAGGGCAGAGCCCCCCAAAGTGCCTGGCATTGGTGACAGCTGCTCAAGTCAGTGTGGCCTCTCGTGAGGAGACACGGGCCTCACGTGGGCTCACAGCAGCAGGAAGGGGCAGGGATGGACAAGGCAGATACTTCAGAGGGAGAGGGAGTGTCAGCCAAGTGGGAGCTGACTGGACATAGAGGGAGATGAAGAGGCAGCAAAGGAAAGAGGAGGGAAAGGGAGGGGCAGTCTACAGTATATCTCATGCTTTTGTGGGTTGCCTGGGCTTAGCTGGCTGGTTCTAATGCTGGCCTCCCTTGGAACCTGGTGCAGTCAGATGGCAGCTGGGGCTGGAGGCCCATCTGGGCTGGAAATCCAAGATGGCTTCACCATCACGTGTCTGGGGCCTCATTGCTCCTCTATGGCCTCCCTCCCCACATGTCGTCTCATTCTCCAGGTCCTTTCTTTGCAGCAAGGTCATCAGACTTCCCGAATGGTGGCTAGCTTCCAAGAACACAAGGCAAAACCTGCTAGGTCTCCTTACAGCTTCAGCCCAGCACTGGCACTGCATTCTGTTAAGTAAACCGTGTCACAGGACCAACCCAGAGTCAGTGCGACAGAGGACTGCACCAGGGCACCAGTACCAGGCAGCTCGGTTCATGGCGGGGGTGGGCACCAAAGTGAGTCGGCCACAGTCACCCAGCTAGTAAGTGTGGAGCCAGGTGCGGCCCCAGGTCTGCGTGGCTCTGCATCCCATGCTCTCACCTCATACCAGGTATAATTGGTGTTAAGCATGAGGGTAGGTCATGGTGGTACAGGGTGCATGTTCCAGCATCATACTTGTCAAGGCCATCTGGGTCTTGTAACCCTCTTGGCTTTGTGTCCTGTCACTCAAGCACCTACTCTGTGTCAGGCTCTTTACCTTCCTCATTTATTATCCTTCCTCAGACCCCTTCTGAGGCTTTCTTTTTCTGCAAACTGGGAATGCAGTCAGTTGCCCAAGGATGCAGGAAGCACATGTACAGCTCCCAGCGGAGTCTCTCTCCTTAAGTCAGTGCTAGGACGTTTCCCACCACTCAGACCAAAGGGCAGCTGATGTGAGTTCCCACCGGGGTGTGTTATGGTCAGGCATCCCTGCTGGACCCACCTGAGTGGAGTTGAGGGAGGGGCGAGGTGTTCACCCTGAGACCTCCAGCCATTCTAAGTGTGAGAGCCAGGCTGGCTGGGGGCTCTCCTCTTCCATCGTGTGCTGGCCTGGGCTGCATCAGGCATGTGACTCACCTCCATTTCTCTCCTCTCTTCAGCAAATGGAAAGGATCCTGAAGAAAGCATCCAAAACCCACAAGCAGAGAGTAGAGGTAAGTCATGTGCTGGTGGGGGAGACTGAGCCATGTAGGGACCAGGCTGGGCCCAGAGGCTAGGAGCCTGGTAGAGGAGCCATTGGAGTGTTGGTGGGGGTGGGGGGGGTGCTTTACCCAACCTCCCCAGGGTCATATAAGGGCAAGGCCAGGGTTCAGGCATCTATAATGCCTGGCAGGGTGGCTTTGAGAGGAAGGGGCTCACTGAGGAGAGACAGGATGTGGAGAAGTGGGAGTGGGCAGTGCTGCATATCCCTAGTGCCCTGCTTGGGTCTGTGCTGACATGGGCTTTCTCCTCGGCTTTTCCAGGACTTCAACAGACACCTGGACACACTCACGGAGCACTATGACATTCCCAAAGTCAGCTGGACAAAGTAGCCTCCCCTCCTGGGGTATGGAGTGGCATCAAGGAGAAGCAGAAGGCAAAGTTGGGGTTATATTTGGCGCCTTTGGTATTTTCTAGAAACATTCTTTTACACACATCCTTGCATCATCTGCTGAGACAGTGCTTTTCAAAGCTGTATGTCCTCATTCTGGAACTTGATTAAAATAAGACCGTCCTTTTACTCTATTTTGATTTCTCAGTAGCACATAGAAGAGAAACATTTTTAGTTTGGAAAGTGTATCCAGAGATTAAGGTTATTTCTGTGTAAGTGCCATGGAAAAGTGGTTTTACCCCCGAGTTGTATCTGACTCTTTGACAGCCAGCCAGCTGGCTTTGCCTGGATGAAACCGACTCCAGAGGACAAGGAGCTAATGCCAGCATGGCCTGCAGCATGCACACCCCTGTAGGGCCCTGCACAGGCTGCCCTTCAAGCTCCCTCTAGATTGGGGCTTATGCTCTCCCATCCAGGGGTTGGGGAAGCCACTTGCAGCTATGGTCTTCAGTCTGCCCCCTCAGCCTTCTGGCCAGTGAGACAGCACAGCCTGGGAAACAGAACAACCACCTAAGGCAAGGATGGAACGTACACCTTGTCCCTTTCTAAACCTGTGGCCAGCATGTAGCCTCTTCTCCCAATATATCCCCATTCCAGACATGTCTAGTGGGTGTTGCCGTGGCAGGCATTGCCAGTCAGGCACAGCATTCTTTGTGATGGAACCCAGGCACAGCCTGCCATCTTACCTTCAACCCTGGGCTCCAAGCAGCCCCCCGTATTTGTTCAGAGTTGGCACATAACATGTTTGGCGTTACTGGCCTAAGGACATCTCGAGGGTGATGGGACCGAGGCAGACCCCCAGCACAGACAGACGTGAGTGTAGTCAAAAGGAAGGACTCAGGTTCCCGTGCTGGAGAGCCAGGATCTTTGAAGGCCTCTGTATACCCACCAGATAAGGATCAGACTGCATATGCTGTTGGGAAAAAATGTGTTGACATAGATGCGGAGAGAATAAGAAGGGCAGAAAACAAAACAATGTGTTGGGTTTGGGACTGTCATATGTGAAATGCAGAATAAAACAAAAAAAAGTTATTAACTGTGAGTCTGAGTATCATAATTACAGGCTGTTTGACTACCACTAGAAACACTGCCTTTAGGATTATCACACACAAAGAATGTGCGTACCACAAAACAACTATTCTCCCTCAATTTGGAGAAAATTAGATGACATGTGTTTCCACCTGGGGTTTGCAACCCACCTAAAGGAGGTGACATACTCTCTGGTTAGCATGGCTCCTTGCAGTGGATTCCCCCACTGACTGGTAGAAAGGCACTTTCAGGCCTTTGCCATCCATGAGTCAGCAGTTGGGGTCTGTGAGCATGATGCGGTGGCGCTGTGAAAAGCCTGCTTCAGTAGTGGGGAAGACAGCTACTCCAATTCTCCCTGCCCATCAGATCGCTCCAAAACTGAGTGACTGAAAACAGTGGAATTTCTCTCTCACAATTCTGTGTATTGACCGTGCTCAGCTGGATGGTTCTGCTCCACGAGGTGTAGTTTAGTTCGTGTGTAAGTTACATTGACTTGCCTGGGGCCAGACCATCCTCCAGAATCTCCCTTTACATAACCTGTTCCATCGCCAACACAAGTCATTGCCAGACCCACTCTGGGAGGGAATTACACAGGGCACGAACATCAGAAGATGTGGTTTATTGAGGGCCATCACTTACAGTCTACCACAGTGGTTCTCAAAATCTGTAAGTTAGGCTCTCCTGGGGAGCATTAAGAACTACTGATGCTACCCGGGGTGGCGTTCCGTCATGAGATTTTTCAGAGCTCCCCAGGTGACCCCAGCATGCAGCAAAGTTTGAAAAACTCTGGTCTAGCACAATCAGTATGGTCTTTTCTGAGACGTCACAGAGGTCAAATCTGACTTATACATTAACTGCCAAGAATGAAATTCAGATATGATTCACATTCCTTCCTCCGCATATGGAGAAAAGGAGGTTACAAGTAACTTATGTGTAAACAGTGTTTACTGTGACAGTACTCTTGGCACTTGGAAGTCTTTGTTTCCTCAAAAGACTTTTGTCCTCCTAGCCCCCCGATACTGTATTAAACATCTAAAATGCCCACAGCAAGCCTGAAAAGAAATCCTCCATAATGGAAAGGGTTGCCTCTCCTGAGTGGCTTTTCTTTTTGCCTTATGCTTTTTGGCATTTCCTCAGTTTTTCTTCAGTGAGATGTACAGTTTTGTAGTTAGAAAAAAGACATGTTTTTCTAAAACACTGCAATAAATTGGGCAAGGTATGAGGCTAGGCACGGTAGGATTTCTTGAGAGAGAGTTGATGTCAAAAAGCCTCAGTTGGCTGCTTTGTGGAAGAATTCTTCCAGCCCAGGATTCACTTGATAACCTTCCAGTTTTCTTCTCTGGATTTTCTTGCACTTACATCTCTACCCCAAGTAGAGGATGTATAACCACAGAGTTGCAAAAACTATCTTTGAAAACCCCAAGTGGAGGTAGTAGAGAAGATAAAAGAAGAGAGAGGCAAGCAGCCTGGGTAAATGGTTCTGATACTGCAGGACTGGGCCCAGGGCACTGTGATGGTTCATTGGGACAGAATGCAGGCATTTCTCCAAAGGCTGAGTATTCATAAAAGCAAATGAGATATAATTCAATTAGATTAATTGGGGTCACAGTTTGCATTACCCACAGTGACCACTAACTACAGAAATAAATCACCTGCTTTTTGCCTAGGTTCAGTGGGGTGTGGCTTTCAGGAGATCATTTCAGGCAATAAACTGAAACACTTGTCCACTGACAAACGTTGACACTGACAGGTGACAGGAACTGACTGTTGCTACGGCTCAATTGCCAGAGAGTTTAACTTCTTTCCAAGTAACCATCACCTTACCCCTCCCTATAAAGGGTATCACAATTGGTGACTGTATATTTGTTTTCGACTTCCCCACCAGGCTATGGGTTCCATACGGCTGGGCCCCAGGTGGGTTCAACCACAAGGATCTCTTACCTAACTTGGCCCACAAAGTGAGGTTTTCAGCTGCAGGGGCTTCGCCCAGTCTGGCAGCTAGAGTGCCCTGCCTCAGTCGGCCCGGCCCCGCCCCGCCCCGCCCCGCCCCGCCCCGCCCCTCTCGGCTTACTTCCGGGATGCTTGAGGGAGGAACGGGAAGTTAGGGCGCATTGGACTTACTGCGCCTGCGCACCCTGCGCCCTGCGCCGGCGCATTCTTGGCAGCTCGTTCCCGGCCGGACATAACGGTCCGCGCGAGGTTCCCCGGACCGGAAGTGGAAACGAACTGTCGCGGGGCGCACCCGGCCTGGCTCACCGCCTGGCAGTCCCCGCTGTCGCCGCCGCCCTCGGCCAGTGCCGAGGCTTTCCGCAGCCACCATGTCCGCCAGTGCCGTCTACGTGCTGGACCTGAAGGGCAAGGTACCGAGGGCGACCCACCTTCCGCGTTGCCAGGCAACTGGCGGGGGCCTCGCCCCATGGGGACCCACCCTGTTGCTAGTTAACCGGCCAATGGGAGCTATCCTGGTCTTAGGCAAGGAAGCCGTTTGGCAGCACCTGAGGCCTCCACCCTGTTGCTAAGTGTCCAGGAAGAGGTCTTAGGTCCGCCTTAGCCCTGCCTCGTTGCTAGATAACGCAGTGGGCTGCCGCCGTTGCCAGGTAACCGGCTGCAAGACCCTCATCCCCCACCCCTGTGGGCTGGCGGCCCAGGGCTCCGTGGGGGCCGGGGAGCGCGGGCCGCAGCCCGCTTGGAAGCCAGGCCTGGCGCCGAGGGGCTGCACGACCCTTGACCAGAGGTGGTGAGGCGTTGCGGGGACAGTGTGCCCTCGGGCCAGTCCCGCCCTCTGGGAGCGCAGCAGCTTATGTTTATTCAGCGATTTTTCTGTGCCAGTCCCTGTAGGGATTTCTTAACGTTCACTGTGACATTGAGTTACAAGAGTCAGGTGAAGTGGGTGGTGGGAGTGCCATTTAACAGAGGGAGAAACTGAGGCACAGAGAGGCGATGCAATCTGCCCAAGGTCACACCGGTCACAGAGAAGTGGCAGGTCTAGGAGTTGAACCCAGAATCAATTGTTCATTCAGCTGATATTTGAGGAGCACCTACTAAGTGCCAGGCAGGGTGCTAAGCTTTGGGCTGCCTTTGGGGAGCAAAATCAGAAATCAGTCCCTGTCCTTCTGGAGCTCAAAAGCTGGTGGTAGAGGGACACTGATCTCAAAAAGCACAAATAAATATAAATTGCAGTGGTGGAGCAGTGATGATATAATAGGGAGAGTCAGCCTCTGCTGGGGGTCAGGAAGGGCTGCCCAGGGGGAGTGACAAACCCGGCTGAGACATGAAGGAGGAATTGGACATAACTAGGCCTTGGGTGCCTTTCCCAGGGGTTTTTGGGAAAGCTTCATAAAGGAGGGATCTCAAAACTTTTCAGAAGTGACCTGCTGCCTTCCCCCAAGTCCATCCCAGCTAGAAGCCAAGAGACCTCTTGCATTGGGGAGTAACAAGAATAGGGCAGAACCAACAATATTAAACAAGCCCCACATCAGTGAGTGAGAGAAACACCGGTGTCGGGCCTAGGTGAAGTGGGCAGGAGTTAGCTCAGAAGCAGCAGGGAGTGAAGAGGTGAAGTGACTGTCCCTTGCTGCTCCATTCCCCACCCCCAGCACTTTCCCAGAGTCCCTTAAGTGGGTTGCCTGCCTTGGATGCCACCCAAAGTCAACAGCTAGTGAGACCCAGTACTAGGCTCCCTTCTTCAACCTTCTTGGAGGCAAAGAAAGACACAGGGCACACCAGGGGCTGGGAGGGTGCAGTGTTCCCCAAGTCTTTGTAGCACGTGTTCTTGTTTCCTCCCTGGCCACTGTGTCACCAGAGGTCCTACAGGCTGCCTACTCAGATCACTCATTTCTTCAGCAAACATTTCATGAGCACCTAGTAGGCACCAATTCCAGTGCGGACCATCGCTCTGTGACTGAGGAGTTAGGGCTGAGCTCAAAACCTGTCTCTGCTGCTCAGCTGCATGACCTAGGGCGAGTGTGTGAACTCGCTGAGCAGACACACCAGGCAGGCTCAGCACCACCCATGGTCCACAGGCCATGTTAGTCCCCACGGACCTTGAGCTCCGGTAGGGGAGGTGCATGGAAGCTGACAGATCCAAGCAGACACATGGATCCAAATGGTCAGATCCCATTAGCCACAAGGACAAGGCCCCAGGTAATGCAGTTACCCAGCCTCAGTTTGGGCTGGCGGGAGGAGAAGTGTTTACGAAGGCTTCCTGGAGGAGGGAGATGCCAGAGCTGGGAAGGTGACCAGGTGGCAGTCAGGTGAACGAGGAGGTGTCACGGTGGGCCCGCTGGCGCTGGCAAGCCAAAAGTCCTGGGTAATGCTGGAGCCTGGAGGATGATACCAAGAGGGCCGTGGGTGTTGAGGATGTCCAGATGGGAGAGCAGGACAGAGGGAACCACTTTGATCCCAAGAAGGAACAGCCACCATAGGAGACAATAGCCTGGAAGAAGTATGATTATACGTGCCTTTCAGGAAGCTCCTGAGGCAGCTGTGGGTTTGCCTCCCATCCTCAGTGACCATCACGCCATTTATTATTCCACTCCCCATGGACCTCATGTTTTGAAAGTTTGCCTTCTGCGCAAACTTCATTTAATAAAAAATAAAGTCAGGAAATTCACAACCACATATCTGCCTGCCAGCCAGAGCCTCTGATCACCAAGGAAACCAGCGGGGCCACATTCAGCTGATAGAAAGCCCTCCATGGATATTTCTCTGCCCTTATCTTTCTTGCTTCTTTGCAGCTTCTGACACCACTACTACGCTCCTCCTCAGCAGGCTTCTGTTGGCCTCGAGGTTGCTGTGCTCTCTGTTTTCCCCGTTTCTCTCACTGACTGCTGCCCCTCATCTTCTGCCCTCCCCTTGGACGTCGGCTCCTCATGCTTGGTCCTGGCGTGCCTCCTGTACTGTTGCTCTCCTTGAGGCAGACTTTGATTTATGTCACTGTGCCAATGACTCTCAAATTTGTTCCAAAGTCCAGAGCACTTATCTGGAGATCCACAGGCCTCCAGGACACCTTGGAGGTCTCACGGCCACCGCAAACTTGGCAGTTCCCCAGATGAGCTCCCTGCCACCTGCCAGCCCTGCTATCTCTCCCCATCTCAGTGATTGACACCACTATCCATGCAGCTGCCCACATTGGAGACATGGGCATTATCCTGGCCTCCTTTTCCTCACTGCCATGTTCACTGCACAGACTTTACTGAGCAGCTACTATGGGCCAGGCTCTGTTGTGGGTGCTGGGACACAGCCGTAAACGAGACGAAAGTGGTCACTGTTCTCAGGGAGTATTAGACTCTGGTAGAAGCGACAGATGATAAATGAGGATATGAATATATAATGCAGTGGTGATGTGGGCAGTGAAGGTGAAGTGGGCTTGGGAGCGGAAAGGGGCAGGATATGATCTTAGCCAGGGTGAGCAGGGAAGACTTCTTGGAGGAGGTGCCATCTGAGCTCAGGTCTGAGAACCGAGAAGGTCTAGGCCAGGGCATTCTGGGCAGAGGGAACTGCAAGTGCAAAGTCCCTGAGGCAGGAGCAAATGTAGATTGCTTAGAGAGAGCTAGGGTGCTGACCAGGATGGCTGGAATGGGGTGAGTCTGGGGAGCATGGATGGAGAGGCATTGGAGGGGCTGTGAAGACATGCCATGGGGATGGACTTGCAGTTTGTTCTGTATGAGGGGAGGCTGGGGTAGCAGCAGTTTAAACAAGAAGCAATCTGATCTGATTCTGTTTAAGAACGCCTGTCTCACTGTCTGCGAGGAAGGAATTGTGGGGTCAGGATCAGCAGCAAGGGTTGAGGATTGTCCCCTCGTTGCCTGCCTCCCTCCAATCTGTCCTGTCTCCTGCCTTTGTCCTGACCTGCAGCCTGAGCTCCGAGGCTGCCCCTACTCTACCTAACCAGTGCTCCTAGGTGTGCCCACATGGGCTGCACCCTTAACCCCATGGCTTTAGCCACACTGGTCCCTCTGCTTCTATCCTGCCTGTCCCCTCAGGCCTCAGTTTGAAGGTCATACCCTTGCAGAGTCTCTCATTTCCCCCTGACCAGCTGTCTCAGTGCAGGGACCCTGTTTGTCTTGGTCACCCCTGTGTCTCCAGGCCCAGCATGATGTATGGTAGACGGTATGAATGAGTGGACCTCTCTGCAGCCTTGGTGATGAAGGTGAGCAAAATAAATTGCTCCCTGCTCTTTCCTTTGAACACACTGGGGGCCCGGGGACTCCGTGCCTGTGGCATCCCCCAAAATTGGATACATGGGGTAGAAGGTGGGCTTGGGAAGCCCAGGAAAGCAATATTTATCAAGCAGAAGTGGCCCTGAAGGGAGTGAGAAGTGGGGTTAGAATCCTGGCTCACCTATGTTCGCTGTGTGACCTCAGGCAGGTGGTGCCACCTCTCTGGACATCACTGTCCATCTCTTTAAAAATATCAGTCCTGCTTCATGGTGGGGGGAGTATATGAGGCAATATATACTCCTGGCAAAGAATATATGAGAGGGTATGTGGGAATCCCTGTGCCAGGGCCTGGTCCAGGTACCCATAAGCTCACCCACTGGGTGCTGAGTCTCTAAGAGGCCTTCTGAACAGCAGTGAGGGCACAGGGTCCCTTGCCCATAGGCCACAAAGGAGAAACTAGAAAAGGAAGGTTCTCTCTCACCTGCTCACTCGTCTGCGCTCTCTCTCTCTCTCTCTCTCTCTCTCTCTCTCTCTCTCTCTCTCTCTGTCTCTCTCTCTGTCTCTCTGTCTCTCTGTCTCTCTGTCTCTCTGTCTCTGGCTTGTAACAGTAAGACAATGTATCTTATGAAACTACAGGTTCTGAGGCAGGCGGCTCCCAGGCTGGTCAGCTCTGTGGTGTCATTCTCAGCATATTACTGAGTTATACTGCCAGCTGTCCTCATGGACACACAAGAGTGGCAGCAGCTCTAGGCGGCATCTCCAAATGGGGCCTTGCTCAGAATGGCATAGCTTCACACCTCCTTTTTCATTCCTTCAGGGAGGTGTAACTTCCATGTAACAGACTGTGTTTATTTAAAGCATATAGTTTGATGAGTTCAGTCATTGTGTATACCCAGGAAACCATAAACACATATTCTATCACCCCCTAAAGCTTCCTCACACCCGTCTGTATCCAGCCTGTCCCCAGGCAGCCACTGATGTGTTTTCTGTTACCATTTCCCAGGATTTATTTATTTCAGTGGAATCACGTAGATATGTTCTTCATTGTCTGGTTTCTTTCACTCGGCTCAGTGATCCTGAGATTCTCTCATGCTGTTGCCAGTGTCAGTAGTCATTCCTTTTCATAGCTGAGGAGTGTTCCATGGTGTGGCTGGACAGTTTATGTCTCCATTCACCTGTTGAAGGACGTTGGCATTCTCGCCAGCCTGAGTCTTTTTAAAATAAGCTGCTGTGAACATCCATGCATGCATCTTCATGTGGACGTATGGTTCCTTTCTCTTGGGTGAATACCTAAGAGAGTAATGGCTGGGTTATAAGCTGGATTATAACTTTCTGAGAACCTGTCAAACTTTACCAAAGTGGTTGTCCCATTTTCCTTTCCTATCGGCAGTGATGTTTCACATCCAAACCCACAGGCCATGAGAGAGAGATGAGGAGAAGAGCTTCTCTTCAGGCCACAGGCAGGTTCTGGTAGATGTGAACACTTAGCAGTGTCCCTCTCCCGACACAGACAGAAGAGCAGGGCTCATTAGCACAGAAAGGCTCTGAGAAGATCTGCAATGAGAGCCTATGGGACATTGTTTAACCTGGCATCTCCCGAGTGACGCGGTCCTGGACTCTTGCCCCATAGCCCCCCTCCACGCTCCCTCTGGGAAGATTCCCACTGGCCCCTGAGGAAGTTCACTTGGCGAAATGCTTTCCTTGAGGAATCCCCTGGGGGATGGAGATCAGATGGCCCTTTGATGGACAGGTGTGTTTGGGGTCCCTGGAGGGAAGGAAGCTGGTGCGTCTCACCCGCCACCCCAGCCATCCAGCTGGTGGAACTCAAGATGAAAGTGTCTTCCCTGTCTTCCACCGCCACCCAGGTGCTCATCTGCCGGAACTACCGCGGTGATGTGGACATGTCGGAGGTGGAGCACTTCATGCCCATCCTGATGGAGAAAGAGGAGGAGGGGATGCTGTCACCTATCCTGGCCCATGGGGGAGTCCGCTTCATGTGGATCAAGCACAACAACCTGTATCGTATCCCTTGGCTAGGGGGCTCCCAGGGGGCCCCGTGTGGACATGTGTGTGCATTCACACACACGTGCAACTGAGGGCTGCCGGCCCCTGACCCGGCTGACCCAGGGCTGGCTCAGGCCAGTGGGGCCCATGAGGCACAGCCCTGTCTTTCTGGAGCTCCCTGCTGCCCAAGGATGACCAGTGTGACAGAGGTCCAGGGAGCCAGGAAGGGTTCCCTGAGGAGGTGACATCCTGGAGGAGACCTGCAGGAAGGCCAGGTGTCTGCCAGCCACGGGAGTTGGCCGGCACGAGGAGCACTAGCCCAGGCGAAGTCTCATTCCGAAGCTGTAGTGGGGGGTGACTGGAGCCCTGGAGGGGGTTGCATGGTAGGAGCAGGGCCCAAGTGGTCAGCAGGGTGTGCACTGCAAGGCCTCATAGGAAATCACCTTAAGTGTGTTGGGAAGTCTTCGGAAGGTTTCAGGCAGAGGGGTGACACGGGCACGTTTGCATTTTCTGGAAGTCTCTGGCTGCTGAGTGGATGCCAGACTTCAGGGATCAGAAGTGGCCATAGGGAGGGGTGGGGAGGCGGAGGTGGGCAGGGCGGTGGCCTGGATCATGAAGGGTGGTGGGATACAGAGGAGGGGAGAGATTCCTCCCAACCCTGCCCAGATCTCAGAGCCCCCGTGCTCAGGCTCACGTGGAGACCTGGCTGAGCCAGTTTCCATCCGTGAGGTCTGACCAGCCCCCCATGGCTTTGGTCAGGCACATTCTGGTATCCGCACTGCTGCAAGAAGGGCATGGCTTTGCAGCACACAGCCCTGTTCAGACCCAAGCTCCAGTAGCTATGTGACTGGAGGCAAGTCCTCACCTTCCCACAGTCCGGTGAGAGCAGGACTGTTAGGGTCCGTTGAGCTGGTGCAGATGCATCACACCCAGCAGACGCGGGTTCTCTCCCCTTTCCCGTGTTCATGGAGACACACAGGACCTCGCTAGTGCAGGTGTGGTCCATGGGCCCGAGCATCCCCTGGGAGCCTTTTGGAAATGCAGAATCCCAGATCCCATGCAGCCTTGCTGGGTCAGAATCTGCATTGTAGCAAGGCCTTCCCTAGTGATTTGTGTACATGTTACAGGGCGGGAGGTGTTGGCCTGGGACCTTCATCCAGTGCCCTGAGGTCTGGCTCCCTTCATCGTGCCTCTGTTTCTTCACCCCTCTCTGGAAGGCCTCAGGGGCAGCTCTGTAGAGTATGGTAGGTGGCCTGTGAGCCAAGAGCTGGCTATCTTGGAAGCTACCCTGGGTCTGGGCAGTGGTTGTCCGGGTATGGAGAGGAGGGAGGGGCAGCTGTGTCAGCGCAGCAGGAGCCATCAGACCAGTTTCCAGTTGGGCCCCAGTGTCTTACGCATGGGCAGCCAGGGAGGAGACATCGAGGGCTTGCCCCTCTGGGTGCCAGTGCCCAGCACACCCTGCCTGAGTTCCAGCCTGAGTTCCATCGTCAGGTGGCAGTTTCCAGCAAGGCCCAGCCATGAGGGTCAGAGGTGCCCTCTGCCCCTCCTTAGAGAGCACCTGGATGGCATGTTGCCCGGACTAGAGGTGGGAAGCCAGCACTCCTTTGACTGGCCCAGCTCCATTTCCTGGGGCCCTGCGCTGGGCCAGCTGAGGCAGGAAGTGAGGTAGAGGCAGTCCCTTTCTCCCTCCCAGAGCTCACAGCTTGGCACTGGAGTGGCACAGGCTTGTTGTGAATGGCCAGGGTGCAGTGCACAGGAACTGGCCTCCCTGGGTGGCTTGAGGCCCTTTAAGGAAAGAGGAACAGGAAGTGCCCAGTATACACTGACCCCAAGAGGTGAGGACATACCCCGCCCCCACCTGCCGTCCCCCCCCGCCCCCCCCCGCCCATCAGAGGGAGTGTGCCAGACACTTTACATACATCACCTCAGTAAATCCACTCTCAGGCCCCCATCATACTAGTGAGAAAATGGAGGCTTCATTCAAAAGGTTTGCTTCAGGGGCAAAGGCTCAAAGAAAGGCTTGAGCTAGAATTGGCCCCGGCTGCTTCCGCCGGAGCCTGCCTGGGGAGCCCTGGACCTCAGGAGGGTCACGTAAGCGATGGGCTTTGGAGAAGGGCCGACTGTGCTCCTGCTTTCCGCTCCTGGATGACCCACACTACCTCCTCCTGCCCCAGGCTGCTCGTCCCACCTGAAGTGCCCTCTACCACACCCTGGGCTTCAGCCCTCAGCTCAGGCATCACCTCCTCAGGGCAGCCCCCGCTACCCAGCAGCTGGGGTGGGTTCCCTGTGCCCCCTGCTGCCCCTCTGTCAGCTGAGCGCTCCCTGGGAGCCGGGACCTCCTCTGGCTGTAACTGCTGTGTCCCAGGCCCAGCTCAGACCAGGAGGTCGGTAACCCGCTGAGGGCCGAGTCATGGCTTGGGGTGGCTCCAAAACATGCAGTGAACTGGGGTCTGTGGGGTGGCAGCCCAGGCCTCTGACCGCTCCTTGACTGCAGCCGCCATGCAGTGGTCGCCACCTCTAAGAAGAACGCGTGCGTGTCACTGGTGTTCTCCTTCCTCTACAAGGTGGTGCAGGTGAGTTGAGCCACAGGGGTATCCGTCACCCTGGCACTGCAGTGTGCCTCACCATACCAGCCTCCCGAGGGCTGCAGCATCCCTAGGGAGTTTGGAGCTGGAACCCCAGAAGTGAGATGGGGGAGCTCCACGTGATCCGTGAGTGGGATTCTGTGGCCTTAGTTGCCCCTCTGCCTGGTGAAGAGAGGAAAGCGAACGGGAGGTGGGGCTCAGGCCAGGTGCGCCATGACTCCAAGAGGGACAGGTATGCCCCCTAGCTGGCTGTGGAAGGGTGGAGGGTAACCAGATGAGTCAGAGATTAGGAAGGTGGGATAAGCAGGAGGAGGGCGGAGCCAAGTTCTGTTCGGAATCTTGTGGGGGCGGGGCCTAAACACAGAGGCCTGAGGCCCTACCTTGGAGAGAGGTGACACACATCAGACCCAGCTGACAGCAGGGGAGGCAGAGAGCAGCACATGCAAAAGCCCTGGCGGGGGAGTGCACGTGGTGCAGTCAGGGAACATCAGGTGGGCCAGTGTGCTCAGGACAGAGTGTGGGGCTGCTATCAGCAAGGTGACAGGGCTAGACCATAGGGGTGGGCGGGGTGGGCAGGGGCGGGATGTACAGGGCCTAGTGAGGAGTTCAGATTTCATTCCAAGTCTCGCGAGAGATGGTGGAGGGCACTTAGCAGGAGACTGACAAGACCTGATTCGAGGTAAGATCATCTCTGGCTGCTGAGTAGAAAAAGCACTTGAAGGCAGCTGGGAGGCCAGGCCGATTTCCAGGAGAGAGATGGAGGGGCGCGGCCAAAGTGGGGCTGTGGGGTTGAAGAAAGCGGGCGGTGGGCCCAGGAGGCCTGGGGTGGGCCCAGGAAAGCTTTCATCCCTCAGATGGTGCCCTGTGCAGCCCGATCAGGAGCCATCTACACCGGATGCTGGGGAACAGGCTGGTGTGGGCAGTGAGGACATGGGGGCAGGAGAGCAGCATGTCCCCCAGGGAGGCCCCGGATGCAGGCTGAGGAGTAGGCCTGCATTCCAGAGCTGTTGCAGGCGGGGCTGCGCTGCCTGTGATTTCAGAGGAGAGGCCCAGCGGTTGCAGTCCTGGGGTGTGGAGACGGGGAAGCGGGAAGGAGGAAGGTTCTCCTCCCTGAAGTGTTTGGCATTGCCTTTCTGCTTCAGTGTTTGTGCTCATGAAAGAGCTTCGACCAAGCTCCTCTTCCCTTTGTCTCCTTTGGCATCCCTGCTTTGATCCTCTTAATTTTCTGTTGAAATGGGGCAGATTCGTCTGCAGGCATAGCTGTACAGACTGGAGTTCAGGGAGGCCAGAGGAGGCTGGAAGAGCCACTTGTCCCCTCCGCAGTGGTTCTTGTCCCTCACCTGAGTCACTCCTGGCTCAGAGGCAAAGGGTGATAGTTACAGTCAGGATTAAAGAGAAGATGGGAAGGGGCCCCAGGCCTGGGAGTGTCTGTCAGGGAGGGGAGGAGAGTGGGCCCGCAGGGGTGGGGCTTCTGACCAGGCCTGACGCCTGTACTCCCCCAGCCTGGTTCCTGCCTCATAGGCGGCCACTGCTGTCCTCCTGCCCACATTCCCTGAGCCCAAGGCCTCGTCCGTAGCACTCTGGGAAACGGCAAACGCAGCTCGTGGACAAAAGGGCTGTTAGCAGGGGCCTCAGGGCACGAAGGGCAAATGAACTCGTGCAAGCGTTCATCCCCTCCTCGTCCTTCCTCTCAACGATCTGCCCCCCACGCAACACCACAGGTATTTTCGGAATATTTCAAGGAGCTGGAAGAGGAGAGTATCCGCGACAACTTCGTCATCATCTACGAGCTGCTGGATGAGCTCATGGACTTCGGCTACCCCCAGACCACAGACAGCAAGATCCTGCAGGAGTGAGTGGGTGGGATGGGGCCCGGGGATGGGGGGCAGGGGTCAGGCCCCTCCTGGGTGACGTCACAACATTGATGTCGTCAGCAGGTTTGGAGGTGGAGGAAGCAAACGTATGTTCATGTTGTTGGTCCCCCTGCCCTGTCTCCAGCCGCACCAGAAGTTTACTAAGTCACTGGGACAGTTGTGGGTCCTTTTTCCACGCAGCATCCGTGCGTAGCATGAGCATTTTTCCTGTTGCGAGGTCTTCATTTCCATCCACAGATGTGTGCTAAATGGCTTGTTATTAGGGAGTCACCTGCCTTTCTTTTTATTGTCATAAATGAAGCTATGATGAAAAATCTCCCTCCTTTGGAATCCTGCCCATCAAGTAACAGTCACCGTGGATTAAGCACTTCCTGTGAACCAGGCCCTGTGCAAGCACTTTTTTCACTCCATTCACAATCAGAGGTGCTGTCTTCCCATTTTACAGGGGAGCAGAGGGACACTCAGAGAAGCCACATGAACTTCAGCACATCTCACATCTGTTGTTCCCCAAGTGGAATCAGGGTCACCAGGTTACACCCCTAGGAGGTTGGTCCCTTCTGCACCCCCAGCAGGGGAGCACTTCATGCCCACTTCTTGTTTTCCTCACCAACGCTGTCTCCTTGGCTCCCTAAAAGTGACCACTCTGCACTTACTGTAATTGAAGAGTTTGTTGGAGGCTTTGGAAATCGTAAGATATTCTTGTGTTAAACAGCCTCAGGTGAAACCAGAGCCTGCCTTTCCTGGCACCTGCTACAGGGAGGGGCTGTTTTGAAGAATGTCTGTGCCTGAGCTGCTTAACTGTGAGCCCGGGCCCACAGGTACATAACTCAGGAAGGCCACAAGTTGGAAACAGGGGCCCCACGGCCCCCAGCCACCGTCACCAACGCAGTGTCCTGGCGCTCTGAGGGCATCAAGTACCGGAAGAACGAGGTGTTCTTGGACGTCATTGAGTCCGTCAATCTCCTGGTAGGCTTCCTTTTCTTTTTTTTAAATTTTATCTTCTCCATGATTGGAAATAAAAGCAGCTCTACTTTTAAAACTAGCAAGGCCCTGAGAAACAGGTAGTTTCTGTGTGATAGCAGATCAGCGGCATTCAGGTTGGGCTGCTCATTGCAATGTGAGCTTGTTTTATCTTCATTAGTTTCTGTTCTTATTTAGAGTGAATGCATGCACATCATTAAAAAAAAAAAAAAGCAGTGTATAGACTTTGAAAGTGAAGGGCTTTGTTATCAGAAAGGCCACATCGCTTAGGGATTCATTGTCATCCTTTGGGACCTCGTGCTGTAGATATACAGACATACATTGTTTTTCTGTGAAACTGAGAACATAAGATGTAGTTCTCCTGTGACTTGTTTTTGGGGTTTTTTGGTTTTTGGTTTTTACTGTTTTGTGTATGTTTGTTTGTTTTTTAATTTTATTTTTTAAGTGACTATTTGACCATATTTTCTATGAATTTTAGCACATGTACAGATTTGTGTACCCATTATCATAGCCAGGAATCAGAACCGCTCCATCACCTCAGAAACCTCCCTGGATGCTGCCTCTTGGCAGTCACACCCTCCTGCCTGTTCCCAACCCCTGGCAACTGCTGATCTGGTCTTCATCACTATAGTTCTGTCTTTTTGAGATTGTTGTATGAGTGGAATCATACAGTGTGTGTCACTTTGAATCTAGCTTCTTTCAGTATAACGCCTTTGAGATTCATCCAAGTTGCTCTGTTATCAAAAGTTTATTTCTTCTTATATTTGTTTATTTTATATGTTGAACTACAGTATGTTTATCCATTCACGCATCAAAGGACATCTGGGTTGTTTCCAACGTTTGGCAGTTGTTAAAAGAGTTGCTATAAACATTTCATGTATAGGTTTATGTGTGGACAGAAGTTTTCATCTCTCTACGGCAGATACCCTGCAGTGGGATTGCTGGGTCATATGGTAAGTGTATGTTTAACTGTGTAAGAAACTGCCAAACTGTTTTCCAGAGTGGCTGTTAACATTTTTGCATTTTCACCAGTAGCAGATGAGAGTTCCGGTTGCTCCACATCCTTGATCAACATTTTTATTTCTGTCATCCTAATAGGTGTCTCATCATGGCTTTAATGTGCATTTCCCTAATGGTTAATGATGTTGAGCATCTTTCTATGTGCTTCTTTGGCATCATTATGCTCTTTGGAGAAGTGTCTCTTCATATCTTCTGATCATTTTTGAGTTGTTTGTTTTCTGATTGTTGAGTTTTGAAAGTTCTTTATATATTCTGGATAAAGTCTTCTGTCACATATGTGATTTGCAAATATTTTCTCCTAGTCTGTCACTTTTCTTTTCATTCTATTGGCATTGTCTTTCACGGAGCAAAAGTTTTTAATTTTGAGAAAGTCCAAATGTCAGTTTTTTTAAATTGATTAAGCTTTTGGTGCCATGTCTGAGAACTCATTGTCAAACCCAAGGTCACATAGATTTTCTCCTAAATTTTCTTCTAAAAGTTTTATAGTTTTACATTTAGGTCTATGATATTTTTGACTTAAATTTTATTTGAGGTGTGAGGCATATATCCATTTTTTTGCATATTGAACATTTTTTTTCATTTGTTGTAAAATCATTTTGGAAAATATTATCCTTTTTCCATTGAATTGCTTTTGCATTTTTGTCGAAGAACAATTGGCCATATTGTGCAACTCTATTTCTGGACTCTGTTCTTTTCCATCGATCTGTATATCTGTTCCTTCACCAATAACCACACTGTCTTGATAACTGTAACTTTATAGTAAGTCTGAAAATCAGATAATGTGACTCTCACAACATTCTTCTTTTTCAAAATTGTTCAGCTCTTTAGTTCCTTTGTGTAGAGTTTTAGAATCAGCTTGTCTGGGATTTTGATTGGTGTTGTGTTAAATAACTCTATTAATCAATTTGGGGAGATTTGATATCTTTAGTATATTAAGTCTCACAATCCATGAGTGCAGTATGTCTCTCTCTATATATTTAGGTCATCTTTGATTTCTTTCATCAGCATTTTCTAGTTTTTACCATGTACAAATTTTTTGTTAGATTTATACCTAAGTATTTCATTTTTTGGAAGCCATTGTAAATTGCTTATTTTTAATTTTATTTGGTAGAATTCACCTGCAAAACTATCTGAGCCTGGAGATTTATTTTTATTTATTTTTTTATTTTTATTTTTTTTTACTTTTATTTTTATTTTTTTTTAACATCTTTATTGGGGTATAATTGCTTTACAATGGTGTGTGGAGATTTATTTTTCAGTACGAATTTCAATTATTTAATGGTTATAGGATTATTTGGATTTTCTGTTTCATCTCGAGTGAGTTTTGGTAGTTTGCTGTTTTTAAGAAATTGATCTATTTCATCTAAGTCACTGAGTTTCTATGCACAGTGTTGTTTATAGTATTCCCTTATTACCTTTTTCATGTGTACAGGGTCTGTACTGATACACTCTCTTTCATTTCCGATATTGGTAATTTATGTTCTTTCTTTTCTCTTTGTCAATCTTATGAGAGGTTTATCTGTTTTATTGATTTTCACAAAGAATCAACTTTTGATTTCATTGATTTCCTCTATTATTTTTCTGTTTTCAATCACAGTGATTTCTGCTCTTATCTCTAATATTTTCTTCCTCATGATTTTGGCTTATTTTGCTCTTCTTTTTCTAGTTTCTTAAAGTGGAAACTAAAGATACTAATTTGAAACTTTCTTCTTTTCTAATATAAACATTTAATGCTATAAATTTCTCTCTAAGCACTACTTTAGCTGTATCCTACACTGATATGTTGGATATTCATTTTTGTTCAAAATATTTTCAAATTTCCCTTGAGACTTTCTTTTTGACCCATGGCTTATTTAATAAAAGTGTTGTTTAATTTCTAAATGTTTGCAGGTTTTTCTGTTATCTCATTGTCATTGATTTTTTAAAAGATTTATTATTTATTTATATATATTTTTTTATTATTTATTTTTGGCTGCATCAGGTCTTAGTTGCAGCATGTGGGATCTTCATTGTGGCGCACGGGCTTCTCTCTACTGTGGCGTGCAGGTTTTCTCTTCTCTAGTTGTGGCGCCCAGGCTCCAGGGTGCATGGGCTCTGTAGTTGTGGTGCGCAAGTTCCAGAGCACGTGAGCTCTGTAGTTTGAGGCACACAGGCTCTCTAGTTGAGGCGCACAAGCTCAGTAGTTGTGGCACGTGGGCTTATTTGCCCTGTGGCACGTGGGATCTTAGTTCCCTGACTAGGGATCGAACCCACGTCCCCGGCATTGTAAGGAGGATTCTTTACCACTGGACCACCAGGGAAGTCCCTGTCATTGATTTTTAATTTAATTCTATCATTGTCTGAGAATATAGTTTATATACTGTCAATTCTTTAAAGTGTGTTAAGGTCTGTTTTAATGATCCAGAATATGATCTATCTTGGTGAATGTTCCATGTACCCTTGAAAAAAATGTATATTCTGCTCTTGTTGGGGAGAGTGTTCTGTAAATACCAATTAAATCCAGTTGGTTAATGGCATTGTTCAATTCTTCTAGCAATTCTTGCTAATTTTCTGTCTACTGGTTCTACCTGTTACTGAGGAGCATTAAAATCTCCAGCTAGGGCTTCCCTGGTGGCGCAGTGGTTGAGAGTCCGCCTGCCGATGCAGGGGACATGGGTTCGTGCCCCGGTCCGTGAGGATCCCACATGCCGCGGAGCAGCTGGGCCCGTGAGCCATGGCCGCTGAGCCTGCGCGTCCGGAGCCTGTGCTCCGCAACGGGAGAGGCCACAACAGTGAGAGGCCCGTGTACTGCAAAAAAAAAAAAAAAAAAAAAAAAAAAATCTCCAGCTATAATTGTGAATTTGTCTGTGTCTTTGCTTCACATATTTTGAAGTTCTGTTATTAGGTGCAAATGGATTTAGGATTCTTCTGTTTTCTGGGTGAACTGACCCCTTTATCATTATATAATGTCCCTCTTTATTCCTGATAATTTTTTTGCTCTGAGGTCTGTTTTGCTATTAATATTGTCACTCCAGAATTCTTTTGATTAGTGTTTACATGGTATATGTCTTTCTATCCTTTTACTCCTTTTTTTTTTTAATCCTTTTACTTTTAACTTACCTGTGCCATATATCTTGTAGAAAACATATAATTGAGTCATTTTTTAAATCCATTCTGACAGTCTCTGTCTTTTATATATTTAGAGCATTTATACTTACTGTAACTGTTAATTTGCTTGGATTAAAATATACCACTTTATTACTTGCCTTCTGTTTTTCATTCCTTTGTTTCCTTTTCCTATCTTTCTGTGATCTTTTTGAACATTTGTAGTGTTCCATTTTGTTTCTTCACTCTATCTTTTTTTTCTTCGTATAGTTATTTTAGTGGTTGCTATAAAATACTCTACTTAGAGTTAATATTTTACAGCTTCAATTGGAATTTAGAAACTTTACTGCCCCCTTATAGAGTTGTCCTGTATATTCATCTATATACATTGAAAACCATATCAGACAGTGTTAAAATTTTTGCTTTCGATTGTCAAACATACTTTAAAGAACTCAAGAGGAGAAAAAGAAGACTCTCGACCATATTTACCCAGATATTTACTATTTCTGTCGCTCTCCCCTCATTTCCAATTTTCCAGGTTTCCTTCTGGTACAATTTCAGTTCCATCTAAAAAGATTCTTCTAGCAATTCTTTCAAAACAGGCCCACTGGCTACAGATTCCCTTCGTTTTCCTTCATCTGAGAATGTCTTTATTTCATCTTCATTCCAAAAGGATATTGTCACTGGATATCAAATTCTGGGTTAACAAGTTCTCTTTTAGTACCTTAAAAATGTTGTGTCACTTCCTTCTGGACTCCATGGTTTCTGATGAAAATACACAGTCACTCGAATCGGTATTCCCCTGTAGGTAATGTGTTGTTTTTCTCTGGCTGTTTTCCACATTTTTTCTTTGTCTTTAGTTTTCAGCAGATAGCTTATGATGTGTCTAGGTATGGAGATCTTTGGATTCCTACTGTTTGGGGCTTGTTCAGCTTCTTGGATCTGTAGATTTACATATTTTACCAAACTCGGGATGTTTTCATCCATTATTTCTTAAAATATGTTTTCACCATTTCACTCTTTCTCGTTTCCGTCTGGACTCTAGTGACATAAATGTTAGACATTCTGTTATTGTCCCAAGGGTCTCTGAGGCTCTGTTCATTCTATTCCATCTTTTTTTTCTCTCTGTTGTTTAGATTGGATAAGTCCTATTGATCTGCTTTCAAGTTCACTGACCGTTTCCTATGTTATCTCCATTCTGCTATTAAGCCCATTCAGTGATTTTTTTGTTATTGTATTTTTCAGTTCTAAAATTTCCATTTGATTCTTCTTCTTATAGTCTTGTTTCTTTCCCAAGACTTTCTAGTTTGACATTTGTTGCAAGAGTGTTTGCAGTTTTTATCCTAGCTATTTAATGTCTTTGTCAGATAATCCCAATATCCATATCATTGTTGGTGTCTGTTGATTGTATTTTCCATGTGAGCTGAAATTTTTGTGGTTCTTTGTATGCTGAGTAATTTTAGATTATATCCTGAGGTAAGATTCTAGGTCTTATTTAAATTATACAGAAAATGTTGATTTTGTTTGTTTGTTTGTTTTAGCTGACAATTGTCCTGGTTAGGTTCAGGTCACAAGTTTCAACCCCCAATCTATGGGCCATGAGAATCAGTTCAGTTTTCAAAGCCTTTGTGCCCTTTGCTATTTAAATCTATGCCAAATATGCACTGCCCAGTGGTCCATCAGGGACTGGGGACAGTTTGGTTCTTGATGTCTTTGGCGTGCTAATTAGGATCATATCCATGCATGCCTGGTTCTAGAGAGATCTGGAGACATAAACAACTTCATGAGGTTGCTTACCTGAACCTTTCACTCTCTGCTCTCTACCTGGTGCTTTCTGGCTGGGGGCTTCCCTTTTTGGTTCTGTGGCCAAAAACTCGGGGCTCTAGATCCCTACTCTAGCGCTTGTCTGCACTTGGGCTGAAATCCTGGGTTTGCCCCACCCTCTCGGAAAGGCAGCTGAATTGCCTAGGGCCTGGGACGTGAGAAAACAGAGAAAAGGGGGTAAATGAGGGATTTCCATACTCCTTCTGAGCAGCAGGAGTTCCCCTTCTGGCCCTGGAGCTAGAGCCAGAGGCTTCCACAAGCTCTGACTGCACCGTACTTCTTGGTTCCACTTTCAGGTTTCTGCTGCACTTTCACATGGGTAGGGGGGTAGGGAGGACTGCTCATTCAGTCGGCTCCTCCCAGATCCACCTTTTCAGTCTTCCAGTAGTTGCCCATGCATCCTGCCCAGGTTTTATAGCTGTAGTCAGTGGTAGAGAAAGGGTGATGCAGGCCAGTCCCATGTCACCTGCAGCCTGCCTGTCACCTCTCGGGAGAGGGCCTCACTCCCATTACTTGGGCAGACAAGGATTGGCTGGGCCAGTCCAGTCATGTGGGCCACTTAGGTGTGCCCATTTCTGACTGTTACTGCCAGTGCAGAAATGAGCATGATTGCTCATCCTCAGATGTGTGTTTGGGCATCTCCCTTATCTGGGCAGGATTTCTGGAGGGCCGAGTTCCCAGACATGCAATTGCTAAGTAACAGTGCTTTTCAAAAAGATTCTCCCAGTGGACTGAATATAAACGTATTTGCTCTCTTACTTACTAAGCCATGAGGCAAGACAGTGGCCTCACTCACTGCGTTCCCCTCCTGCCTGAGGACCTTCGTCTGAATTGTTTACTGAGCCCAGAACATGGCTGTAGGGTGTCCTAAGGTGGAGAAGCAATCCCAGGGAGCAGCTTATAAACAACTGCCTGGGAAAGTGCTGGGAGTTCAGGGGCCTCCCAGCCGCAGTGTGTCCCTACACATGGCACTGCCCAAGGACCCCTGTTCTTCCATACGAGGGGCAGCAAGAGGCAGGTATGCACATCCCAGTCATGTTGGAACACACCTTCCTAAGTCTGATTGCAGAACTGGTGGCCTTCAGAGTCAACATTGGCCTCCAGGTTCTGAAAATCTTGTTGTACTAGTATAATTAGGCAGCCGATCCCCCGGCAAACATCTCCTCCATGCCCACCCTGGGGAAGGCACCAGCTTTGGGCTGCCAGTCACGCCTCAGCACCGTCCTGGTTGCTGCCCAGGTGGCCAGGATTAGCCTTAGAGGCTGCATGGCTTTTGTCTCCACTTCCTGAGCCTTCTTTCCCATCATTCAACTATAGAGGGTGGTGCAGTCCCAACTCCCCAAGGGGAGATAGCCCCCCAGAGAAGGGGGTCTAAGGGCAGACTGTTGGGGGGGAACACGGAGGACCCGCAGAGTAAGGCAGGTGGTAGTGCCAGCTGCCCAGAGCCCAGGGGCGAAGGGCCATGTCTGCACGGGCTCGCCGAGTGCCCACTGCCCCAGGCACTGTCCTCGTGCTGGACCCAGCAGTGAGCAGCCTGACATGACCCCTCACCCGAGCGTGGACAGGATGGATGGACAGGCAGACAGGGCTGGCAAGAGGCAGAGGAGGAAGCAGCTTCTGTGTGCTGTGGGGTCAGGTTGCTGCCTGTTGAGGCGAGGACAGTGAGAGGCCAGCGTGGTCAGAGCATAGTGAGCGACGGGAAGTGACGGAGCCACACCCTGCAGGGCCTTCTGTCCTGTTTTGTGCCTTTCTCGGGGTCATCGTCCACATGGCGCCTCAGTTCTCCACTTCCCTCAGAGGCGGAGGGCTTTCATGTGTGCACGTGTTACTTGCAGACATCTGAGTTAAAGACTGGACAGATTTTCCTGCTTCTCTGCAGAAATCGGAAACTCGGGCCCTCCAAGGAACGGCCCATATGGCCCTAGGGCCTCTGAGTTTGTAGCCCTCTGTTTCACTTGCTGGTGTGGATGTGGCCTCATGCAGAATGGCACTACGGGGTGGTGGTCCAGGCTGTGGCCCCAGCACCTCTGCCAGCCACTCTGTGCCCTCGGCGTGTGGCATCCTCTCTGTGCCTCAGTGTCCTCGTCTCTAAAATGGGCCCAAGGAGAGGTGCTCCAGCAGCCTGGCCCCCTGAGGACAGTCTCCGGGTTTGCCCATCGTCCTGCTGTGATTTTTAGTTGCACTCTCAGATGCCTTCCGGTTTGCACAGGAGTTAAAAGGTAGCCCAAGTCACAGCCCCGCCCTATTGAGGAGGAGCTGCTCAGTCAGTGTTGTAGCTGTGATTGTATTTGCTTAAGTGTATTGTTATTTTGGATCGGTGGTTATCAGACATCAGGGCAGCCCTGGGAGCAGGGTCCAGGAAGCTCCGTCTTCAACAAGCCCTAGGGACTTCGCCAGGCCCCACATGGAGGAACAGAGATTTCCAGGAAAGTCAGTCTGGCCTGCTCCCAACAGATGAGCAGACCTGGTAGAGTCCCTGCCCAGGCCAGCCGAGCACACGGCCTCAAGCCACCAGGTCTGTCCCGGGCATCCCAAGAGCAACTTAGAGTAGAGCCCTCAGAGAGGATTCCAGGCACAGTATCACCTGGCCCATCTGCGAGGGAGGAGCCTAGTGTGGCCTGAGGACTAGAAGGCGGGACCTGTAAGTGTCTGCCTCCCTGGCCTGGCCTGGCCCTGCCTCCCCAGCTCAGGGGACAGCGAGAAGGGCTTCGAGAATGGGAGTGGCCAGGAGGGTCACACAGCGTGGTTGGGGGACAGTGACCGGTGCGTGGGGCCTCCCCTCACCCCCTCCTCGCCACCCCCTAGGTCAGTGCCAACGGTAACGTCCTACGCAGTGAGATTGTGGGCTCCATCAAGATGCGGGTCTTCCTGTCGGGCATGCCTGAGCTGCGCCTGGGCCTCAACGACAAGGTTCTCTTCGACAACACGGGCCGTGAGTATGCCACCGGGGCCCAGGTTTCAGCCCTGGGGCAGCTGAGGGACTGTTCACCTGCGTGATGAACAACAAGTTCATCTCAAGCACTTGGCTTAGAAACATTTTCACGTTGTTTAAAGACAACTGTGAAAACGAATAAACTAACACCTGGACTTAGAGGACGTGGGAGAGTGAAAATACTCAAGTCAAGCCCCCTTGTTGCTCCGAGGGCCAGAGGTGCAGGTGAGCACCTTAGGTGCCAAAGCACATGTAGCATCATACAACAGGTCCTCAACTCCACCCTACTGGAAGGTACTGCGGGCTCGCTCTCCCCTCCCAGACCCAGTTTCTGCCCTCACCTCTGGCGTTGGGTCTGGGCTGTTCAAAAGCCACACACAGTGGTTCGAGCATGCGCTGCCTGGCCTGGATGTAGCACTTCCCATGGTGGGGCATGGCCAGAGCGGCCTCAGGAGCCCAGGGTGGCTGGGGCTCCGTGTTTGCAAACTGGACCACCAGCCTCCCCGCCAACCACAGGTCCACCGGCGGCCGGAGCAGTGGCGCTTGTTGTCATAATTACGTCTGCAGCATCGCTAGTGAGGGCCTCTCTGACGTTAGCCCATCAGAGCAGCTCCCCTCTCAGGACTGAGCTCAACCCACACAGCCTCTCTGGGCTGGGAAACCAAGACAGGACCCCAGGGATGACAGGACCGGCGCCCTCAGGGAGCCCCAAGCCATCACCGAGTACCCTCAGTGGGGTCTGTTAATCATTCAGCAAACATGTCCCAGGCAGCAACCCTGGCTGGGGACTCATTGTGAACTAGGCCTACTAGCCCTGTCCTCAGCCCAATCTTGGGACGTAATGGGGCTTCCAGCGGGGTGAGGAGAGATGGGGCGTGGCTGCCTCAGAAGCCGGCCCCCTTGGTGTTCGTGGCCCAAGATACTCTCACAGATCTGGGGGCAGCTCTGCTCTGCTGTGTCAGGAGTGAACCCTAGACAGTGGGAGCATTGCTGAGAGAGTGGCCTGGGGGGCCTAGGGACTGTCCCGCCCTCACCCCCACCTCCCCTCAGGTGGCAAAAGCAAGTCCGTGGAGCTGGAGGACGTGAAGTTCCACCAGTGTGTGCGGCTCTCTCGCTTTGAGAACGACCGCACCATCTCCTTCATCCCACCCGATGGCGAGTTTGAGCTCATGTCCTACCGCCTCAACACCCATGTGAGTGCACCAGCCGCCAGCCAAGAGGGCCCCCAGGCCCCCGCCCCTGCTCCTCCCCTGGGGCAGCCTCCCTCCTCTTCCCTGCTGGCTGGGAGCCATCCCCGTCCACAGCGAGTCTCACGTCTTGTGAGGTGATGCCCAGGATGGGCACAGCTCCCCATGAGCAGCCTGGGCTCCAAGGAGCCTGTTTGACAATGCAAGGCTCTGAACTTTCTGAACTGAGGGGCCAGACCCCTTTGACACCACTGCCCCTTTCCCAGGCATTCCCCACCAGAGCGTCCTCGGTGATGTTTTCTGCGTTTTCTCTAATGCTCTGACCCATCCTGGCACCAGCTGTGGAGCCCCGAGCAGCAGTGTGCTGGGCTCACACCTGGCCCTGTGGTCCCTTGCCCTCAGTTTCCCCTCTGTGAAACAGGGCTTTGTAAAACAACTGGTTGTGAGCGCCATCTTCACTCTCCCCGACAGGTCAAGCCCTTGATCTGGATCGAGTCTGTGATTGAAAAGCATTCCCACAGCCGCATCGAGTACATGATCAAGGTGTGTGTGCATCCTGCACGCAGCATCAGCCAGGCGTGTGGGGCATAAGACGGGGGATTTGGGCTCCCCCGCCTAGTGCAGGCCTTCTGGTATCTCTGGCCTGTCCGGGGCCTTGGGCACAGAGAGGACACGCTGCCCGGATCTTGTGTGCGGCCACCGTGGCAGTGGCCTGTGACCAAGTGTCCAGGTGGAGCACTTCTGCCACTCAGTGACCTCACCTAGCCCAGGCCAGCCCTGGTCACACAGACCTTTTCCCTGGAGGCCAGGGCCAGAGGGAGGGATCGGGAGTCCCAAAGGCCAAGGGGACAGGAGGGCAGAGACTGACCGTCCAAAGTTGAGCTTAAGGAAGACCCCAGGGGGTGGGAGAGGGCGTGGGGGTCAGCTCGGTGCTGGGAGTGGGACTCCCAGAGGCCAGGCCAAGGGGCATGTGGCCCTTGTGGGAGCAGGCTGGGTGGGAGCCAGGCTGTCTCACCTTCGCCCGCCGCAACCTTGGCCACATTGGCCTCGTCTCCAGGCCAAGAGCCAGTTCAAGCGGCGGTCAACAGCCAACAACGTGGAGATCCACATCCCTGTGCCCAACGATGCCGACTCACCCAAGTTCAAGACGACAGTGGGGAGCGTCAAGTGGGTCCCCGAGAACAGTGAGATCGTGTGGTCCATCAAGTCCTTCCCGGTGAGCACCCTTCTCGGCGGGGCGCCCCCTCCAGACAGGCATGGGCAGAGGCCTGCTCGGCTCAGCCTGGCTGGGGCAGGGGTGGGGCTGGGGCCCAGGGTAGGGGGGCACTCCACCTTCCTCTTGTGTGTGAACCAGCCTGTCTTCAGAGTCACGGCAGGGGTCCCTCTCTCCCTCCTCCTTTCTCCCTCTGACACTCCTGTTTAGAGCTCATCATCCCTCCTGGGGAACAGACTGCCTTGGGGCCAGAGCCTCACGGGAATCCAGCACCAGCTCCAGGAAGGTAGAGCACTTCCTGCCCCGGCCCACAGGCTGGTATAGCCAGCTGGCTTGTGTTCAGGATTCTGAGCACTTGAGTCTGGGTTTGTGTAAAGAGTGCCCTGGGACTGGAAGATGGGTAAGCGGCTGCGCCGACTCAGGGTGCGGCCCATCGCCCTTCTCATGAGAAACAAGATGGAGCACTTTTTCACGACTCAGAGGACTGTTTGTGCTTCTTTCTCGGGAAACTGTAGTAGCTGTCTCTTGCTCACTTCTCTATCAAGTTTGCTCATTTTCTTCTTAGTTTCCAAAAGCTGTTTACACATGGGCAAGATTAGTACCTTTTCTTTGATATCAGTTGCAAATGGTATTTCTCAGTGTTTGGTGTTCGTCTTTTGACTTTGCTTCTGGTGTTTTTTGCTGTGTAACCTTTTTGATTGCTTCTTCTTTTAATTGTTGTTTAATGTAGTCACATTTCTCAGTCTTTCTTTTATTGTGTTTGGATTTTAAGTCATGATTTGAAAGGCTTCCCCATTCCAGGCTATAAAGCAATTCACCCATGTTTGCTTCTAGAACGAGTACAGTAGTATTTTTCACCTTAGACTTCAGGTCCTTTTGGAGCACAGTCTGGTAAATGGGTGACATACAGATCCAGCTTTATCTTTTCCCACATGGCTATCCAGTTTCCTAACCTCATTCACTAAAAAGTCCCATCTTTTCCCCAGTGGTTTGAAATGCCGTGTTTTTCAAAAATCAAATTTTCATGCGGCATTAGGTCTCTTTTTGAGCATCCTCTTGTCTGTCTCTCCGTGCCGCAGAGGCCACATTTTAACTTTATTCTATGTTTTAACATCTGGTAGGGCCAACCCTACCCCTACCGTAACTCCCCACAACCTCACTGCTTGTCTGTTTCCTGGCAACTCTTGCTGGTTTCATTTTTCTTATAAATTTTAGAAGCAGTTTGTTTGCACTAAATTTGTAAGTTAATTGGGAAGGATTAACACCTTTTTGAGGCCGAATTATCCTATCAATAGCCTTGCCCCACTCTCACCTTTGTGCCTTTTGGGAATGTTTTAATGCTTACCTTATATATACCTCATATGGCCTCTCCCATTGTTTTTAAAGGTACTTTTATTTAAATATAACATGCAGAAAAGTAACAAGTGATATGTGTACAACTCAGTGAATTTCCTCAGAGTGAACACAACTGAACCGGATAAAAGCCACAGAACACTCCTTGCCTCCAGGACACCCCAAAGATCTCTTCTGGTTTTGCATATTTCTCATTAAGATAATTTTTAAGTTGATATTTTGGTAACTGGGGTCTTCTCTTCCATTGTGTCTTACAACAGGTTGCTAACATTTGTATGGTAATTTTGTGTCCTGGTACCTTACTAAATTTTTTGTTTGTGGTAGTTTTTCTTTCAATTCTCATGGGTTTTTAGATATTCTTCCACACTGTTTGCAGCCAGATGCAGTTTCCCCTTTTCCTCTCCCATTCTTGGGCACCTTATAGCTTCTGGCGTCTCACTGCTTCACTTGCTATCTCCATTGCCTGTAAATGGCGGTGGAGAGAGCAGCCTCCTGGCTTTGCCCCCAGCTGGAGCTGGCAGGGTTTCCCCTCTTAAGTGTGTTGCTGCTTTGGGCTACAATTCACTTCAGTCCTACTTTACTGTGTTTTTATTTTTTATTTTATTTTATTTTTTTAATATTTATTTTTATTTGGTTGTGCTGGGTCTTAGTTGGGGCAGGCAGGCTCCTTAGTTGTAGCACACAGGCTCCTTAGTTGTAGCACACAGGCTCCTTAGTTGTGTCATGCGAACTCTTAGTTGCTGCGTGCGAACTGTTAGTTGCTGCATGCATGTGGGATCTAGTTCCCTGACCAGGGATCAAACCTGGGCCCCCTGCATTGGGAGCACAGAGTCCTAACCACTGTGCTACCAGGGAAGTCCCCTTTACTGTGTTTTTAGCACAAATGGCCAACGAATTTACCCAAACGCCTCTTCAGTGTCTGTAAGTTCCTATATTAATATAGGATGGATCTTGAACCATCCATGCATTCTGGCAAACCCCACTTGATCATGATCTGTTTTCTCTTTAATGTGCTATTAATCTTGTTGGTTAACATTGTATGTAGGATTTTTACATTGAGATCCATAACTGAGATTGATTTTTTTTTTGGTACAGTCTCTATCAGGTATCAATATTGTACCCATTTCATTATTTTTTTGTCTCCCTTTTCCATGATGCAGAACAGTTTAAGTAGCCTTGAGATCTTCTTGCCTTGAGAGGATTGGTAGAATTTGGCTGTGTGACCATCTGTATCTCTGTTACTTTCTCTACCTCATCTGTGGAAATTAGACCATTTAGAGTTTCTATTTCTGTTGGAGTCAGTTTAGGTAAATTGTATTTTCCTACAAAATTATCCATCCTAACCAGGTTTTCAAATTTGTCTACACAGAGTTGTAGAAAATTGGTGTCTTTTTTTCCCCTTCTCTTATGACAATTACTTCTGCCTCGTTATATCTTATTTTGCGTACTTGTGCCTTCTTTTTTCCTTGATAAGGTTACCTGGTGGTTTGCGTATTTTTTTTCCAGGTTCACTTTTTAGTTTATTTGTTGTAATAGTTTTCAGTTTTATAAGTCTTTAATTTGAGTTTCTTCATCCTTTCTTTGCTTTAGTTTTCAAGTTCTGTATTTTAATTTGATTATTTTGTTTTAAAATTTGTATTGATATAAATGAATATTTAAGCCACAAATGTTCCTCTGAACCCCGCCTTAGCTGTATAGCCCATAGATCTGGCATGTAATATTTGATATTATCTAGAAATTCTGTAATTGAATGGAGAGTGATTTTTTGTTTTGTTTTGTCTTGTTTGAATTTCCTGGTCAAGGGGTTTTTTCCATTTTGTCTTCACTATAAATTTGGTGCTTTGAGACCAGAGAATGTTATTCATGCTGTTTCTACTTTTAGAATTTATTGAAGTGTTCATTGTGCACTAATAGAAGGTCAGAGTTTGTGAATATCCCATATGTAGTTGAGAAGAAGATAGGGCCTCTGTTATTGGGGTAGAGAATTTGACACATGTGCCATGAGGTCTGCCATGATGCCATGAGAGCATCAGTCAGACAGAGAGCTGGGCCAGCTCTGCCTTTCTCTGGTTCTCTTCTCCTCTCTTGTAGCATCTGCTTAACAAAAGTTGCTGCCATGTTATTTGGTGCATAGATACTCCTATCTATTGTATCCTCCCTATGGATCATAGGAATAGCCTTTAGGATGTGGACTATCATCCTCTGCACCTGTAATTCTTTGCCTTGAATTCTCCGCTGTGGCAGCAGCCCTGCTCTATTTTGTTTGACTTTGGCTGGCATGCCTTCACCCATTCTTTCTACTGGTTTAGCCTTTCTCACTCTGCTTTTACAGTGTGGAGTTGGGTTTTGGTCTGTGAGCCAACCTCTAAGTCTTTCTCATTAATAGGAGAAGTAAACCCATGTACATGGACATGACTGACACAAGGTAGGCTTGCAGACTTCCACCCCCCCCCCGGAGAGGGCCAGCCTCTCTGCATATTGTTTTGCTTTCATTTTCCACTTTGCCTTTTCTTTAATTACTACTCTTAACCTTTTTTTTTTTTTTTTTTTGGACTGCGTTTGGGTCTTCGTTGCTGTGTGCGGGCTTTCTCTAGTTGCAGCGAGCGGGGGCTACTCTTTGTTGTGATGTGCAGGCTTCTTGTTGCGATGGCTTCTCTTGTTACGGAGCACGGGCTCTAGGCACGTGGGCTTCAGTAGTTGGAGCATGCAGGCTCAGTAGTTGCGGTACATGGGCCCTAGAGCGCACAGGCTTCATCAGTTGTGGCTTGCGGGCTCTAGAGCACAGGCTCAGTAGTTGCAGCGCATGGGCTTAGTTGCTCCGTGGCGTGTGGGATCTTCCCGGGACAGGGATTGAACCCGTGACCCCTGCATTGGCAGGCAGATTCTTTTTTTAAAAAAATTAATTAATTTATTTTTGGCTGTGTTGGGTCTTTGTTGCTGCGCACATGCTTTCTCTAGTTGTTGAGAGCGGGGGCTACTTTTTGTTGCTGTGAGCGGGTTTCTCGCTGAGGTGGCTTCTCATTGCGGAGCACGGGCTCTAGGAGCACTGGCTCAGTAGTTGTGGCTCACGGCCTCTAGAGCGCAGGCTCAGTAGTTGTGGCGCACAGGCTTAGTTGCTCCGTGGCATGTGGGATCTTCCCGGACCAGGGCTCGAACCCGTGTCCCCTGCATTGGCAGGCGGATTCTTAACCACTGCACCACCAGGGAAGCCCCTGGCAGGTGGATTCTTAACCACTGCACCACCAGGGAAGTCCCTCCACTTTGTTTTTATAAGGCTCAGATTTTTGGTCAGGTTGTTGTTTCATACACAGGCTGATGGAGCTGATTTTGTTCCTTTGCTGCCTGCTTCGTCTATTGCTGAGACCACATTATTCTCCCCTCGTTGTCCCAGAATCTGCACTCAGCACATAGCACCGAGTCAGGCAGAGTCCACATTCCTGCACTGATGAGCAGAGACTGACCACTCACTTCATCCCGGGGCGGGGGGAGCATGAGCTCAGCCCTGGGGAGGCGTGGCTCTCTCCTGCCCTGCCCTGCCCGAGGCATGCAGAAGTAGCTCTGGTCGGCAGTGACTGCTGTGACTGCTGTTGCCAGAGGCATGGGGATCAAAACCCTCCATGTCCCGGGTGTGATGAGAGCTATGCTCCCCACTCCTCCCTGCTGTTCTGGGTGAGGCTCACCGGGCGCTTGGACAACCAGGCCAAGACTCCTGACTCCTCGTGGCCGAGAGGAGGGTTCCAGTCATTCCTGGCCCTGCTCCAAGCACCATCTCTGGAGTCATTGCTCAGCTTCCAGGGCCAGAGCCACGCCCTTTGGGGGCAAGACCCAGGGCCAGCTCATCAGTCAGCCCCCAACCTTGGTCTCTTATTTTTGTTGCCTCTCCCTGTTCCCTTTTCTTCATTTTGACATGTCCCTCTTGCTTTCACACACCTTCCTGACACTGGGCTCTGGGGGTGTTCACTTGGACTCTGGCCTGGGCAGGTAGGGGCCCTTGTCCCACGGCAGCCCACATCTGCGCTGTGTGCTCGCTCTCCCTCTCTGTTCTTCCCTCCCAAGGCCTGTTGGTCTTATTTTCCTTGAAGCAGCTAGGCTTCTGTGCCTGGCAACTTGTGAAATTTTCTCTTCATCCTCAGAATTCAGCAGTTTTCCCCAGCGGGGCTGGTGGGGGCAGCCTGTGAGGCCTGGAGGACAAGTATGAGTGTTTTGGAGAAGCCAAGGCACTGGGTGACTGCAGGTCACACAGGAGGAGGTTGGTGGCCGAACCAGCAGCCTGGCATTCTCCAGGGGCAGCTGTTGGCCGAGCTTGCCCGGGGCCTCAGCCTGACCACCTCCACCCTGGTGTTCTCCCCCAGGGCGGCAAGGAGTACCTGATGCGGGCCCACTTCGGCCTGCCCAGCGTGGAGGCGGAGGACAAGGAGGGCAAGCCCCCGATCAGTGTCAAGTTTGAGATCCCCTACTTCACTACCTCCGGCATCCAGGTACATGCGGCCAGGGCTGCCAGGGCCCCAGAGCAGACATGGATAGGACCAGGGGGGCCTCAGGAACCGGGACCAGGTGTCAGTCCAGGCTCAGAGGGTTGCAGGTGACAGACATCTGTGCAACCAGTTAGAAAAGGGTGCTAATTGGCTTGTCCTGGGGCTCCGCGGTGCTCCTGGCTCTGCCTGTCTCCGAGGGCAGCCCGGCCCTAATGGAAAGAGGCCCACAGTTGTTTACCCAGACCTGACCTGTGCTTGAGCTCCAAGCTCAGAGATGCATTCAGTCCCCAAAACTAGAGTTTGAGCCTCTAGCATCCACGCACTTGCCACCATGGGACCCGTTTTCCTGGGCACCTCCGCAGAAGACCTGCATGGGGAAGAGAACCCTGGACGGGACCCCTTCTCCAGGAATCTGCTGGAGGGCTGTGCCCGAGAGCGCACATCTGGCTCTTTGCCGCATCTTCTAGAAGTACCTCCACCCTCCCTCAGCCTCAGAGAGGTTCAGACAGATCAAGGCCCTTTGCCCCCTCCCTCGCCCTCCTGGTCACAGCCTGGCCCCGGGAGGAATGACTAAGCGGGGACCAGGAAGGGGGATGGGGGTGTGTGCATGCTTAGGGCCCTGGTACCTGTGCCCCAGGTGCGCTACCTGAAGATCATCGAGAAGAGCGGCTACCAGGCCCTACCGTGGGTTCGTTACATCACTCAGAACGGAGGTGCGTGCGGCCCACCCGTGGGGCAGGTCGGGGGGGTGCTGGAAAGGTCCCTGGTGGGCATGCTGCTGTCTCCAGGGTGGTGCTCACGGAGCAGCCCCAGGGTCGGGGCAGGTGGGCCCAGGGTGCAGAGCAGACAACAGACGCCTCCTCCTCACTCCTAGATTACCAGCTCCGGACCCAGTGAGGGGCCACGGTGGCCAACGCTCCCGGCCCAGCACTGGGCCTCCTGGTGGAAGCACCAGGAGGAAGCACCTGCCAAGCCTGCCGGAAGGAAGGGCTCCCCTGGACACCAGCCACCCTCCCGGCTCCACCCAGGGGCCCCTCCTCCTCCAGGCGCACCTGCTGTGCCGTCGCCACTCTCATCCCCCAAGTCCCTTTTCCCAGAAGAGGCTTATCTTCAAGAAGTCTCGTCTCTTTGCCCCCGAGTCAGTTTGAAGGGAAGGAAAGAAATCTTTCCCTCCAGAGATCAAATACAGCCTTCTGTGCTGTTTAGCTCCTAGTCACGAAAAGATTGGGAAACGCTCGCCAGACCACTGTCTGGCCGGGCTGGCAGGGCCACCGTTTTGTTGCCATTCTATTGAACGTTGTAGGTTTATTGAGTGTTCCTGGATTTTTGTCTTGGTCCGTTGCTGTTTACGTGAACTTCACTGTCCACGCCTCCTGCCCCTCATCCTGAAGCGCTCAGGCAGCACTTAGCGAGGACAGGACCTCCCCGTTCCTCGCCCTCCTCCCCAGCGAGGCTGACGCTGGGTCGCCTTCCCACATCGGGCCAGAACCTGGCACTTTGATCGGAGGCTGCAGCTGATGGCTGTTCCTTGGAGGCTCCTTGGCCTGGACGCATAGGCTTCAACAGAGGCGCCTTCTGAGGGCCAGCCTGTGCCACACGATGCTGTCACTCAGCCACATCAGTGTTTGTCCCCCCAGGGGAGGTGGGGTCCAGGAAGGGCCCCTGGCCTCAGAGGGTGGGGCGCACGGGTCATCCACATCCGTGCTTGGACACCACCCCCTTCAACCCTGTCTGTGTTTGTGTCATGAGTACATTAAATTCCATCAGTTACACATGCTGCCTGCTTTCCATCTGATGCAGCGTGGTACTGACTCCCCATGGATGACCAGGGGGAGGTGCAGGCTCCCGCCAACCTGTGTGTGGCTCCGTGTGGTGTCACCAGCTCCCAGTGCCCCTACATCCCCCAGGGAAGACGGGAACAGGCAATGGGACGGCAGAGCCATTGCACTGGGCCACCAGGGCCACCCCTTCTAGGGGGACCACACAGAGGAGAGCACATAGCAAAATGTATCCCTCTCATCGGAGATGACTGTTACAACCCCCAACCCTCAGATCACCAACAGCTTGCTCCCATCCCTTCCCAGCCCAGTGGTCTTCCTTAGAGTGTGGTCCTGGTACCAGCAACATCAGCGTCCCCTTGGAGCTCACTACAAATGCAGGTTCACAGGCCTACCCTGACCTGCTGAGGCAGAGTCTCGGGATGGGGCTCAGGAGACCAGTTAACAGGCTCTACATGTGATTCGTGCACGCACTGGAGTCTGAGAACCGCTGCCTGGTCCATAGAGGGGATCATGGTGGGCACATGGGCAGGAGGAGCTTGTGTTCCCACTGCAGGCACTTGCACCCACTGTCCCTCCAACGCTGATGGCCCTGCCTGCCCCACACCCTCTTACATTCAAGGACTGTGTTTTCTTCTCCCTCTCCCATATCACCCAGCTCCTACTTGGAGGTCTAGTGGGCATCAGCCTGAGTGGAAGCTTGGCCTTCTACCATGTGGAGTAAAGGACGTTGCCCTGGCCCAGGGCTCAGGCCAAAGCCCTTGCAGGCACCCTTAATGCCCCACCCCTCACTCGCATGCCCACATCTGCAGCAAGCCCTGGTGGCCTCCCTCCAGAAGACCCTCCGGAGCCACAATATACAAAGAGACAATGACCAGAATTTTCCAAAATTAAACATTTTAAATGTAAAATCTTTACATTCTCAGATTCAGGAAACCATTGAGGCCAAATCAGGATAAATAAATCTAAGTCTAAAACTAAGAAACATCACAGTCAAAATGCAGAACATTAGAGACTCAGTGAAGATCACAAAAAGCAATGCAAAGAAGATAAAAACACACAACACACACAAAAAAGAAAAAAGCAATTAGGCTGAGAGCTGGTTTCACAACTGCAAGAATGGAAGTCAGAAGATAAAGAATAGGCTCAAGGACTTCCCTGGTGGCGCAGTGGTTGAGAGTCCACCTGCCGATGCAGGGGACATGGGTTCGTGCACCGGTCCGGGAAGATCCCACATGCCGCGGAGCGGCTAGGCCTGTGAGCCATGGCCGCTGAGCCTGCGCATCCGGAGCCTGTGCTCCGCAACAGGAGAGGCCACAACAGTGAGAGGCCCGCGTACCGCAAAAAAAAAAAAAAAAGAATAGGCTCAAATTGCTAAGAGAAGATGACTAGTCTGTGATGACCAATTCTGTGCCCAGCAAAAGAACAAAATTAAAAGTTTAACAATAGCAGACCCTCACGAAGCAACTTGGCGTACAACAAGAAGGAGATTCAGGACTTCCCTGATGGCTCAGTGGTTAAGAATCTGCCTGCCAATGCAGGGGACATGGGTTTGAGCCCTGGTCTGGGACGATCCCACATGCTGCAGAGCAACTAAGCCCATGCGCCACAACTGCTGAATCCTGTGTGCTGCAACTACTGAAGCCCATGCACCTAGAGCCCGTGCTCCACAAGAAGAGAAGCCACCACAAAATGAGAAGCCCGCACACCTCAACAAAGAGTAGCCACCTGCTCTCCACAACTAGAGAAAACCCGTGCACAGCAACGAAGACCCAACACCGCCAACAACAACAACAACAAAAAAGGATTCAATGCAGGAGGAAGGAAAGAGACTTGAGGAAGATTGCTGAAAAAGCTTGGAAAACATTGGGAATATCTAAACTGTCATTGACTATATAAAGCAGTGGTAGTGATGAGTTAGTAATGTCTGAGTAGTAACATAAGTTACAACTAAAATTCTGGACAGCATCCTGCAAAATAGATAGGCAGTTGGCATCCATACCTCCCAAGGTCTTTTTACTGTTTGGGAAGAAGATGGACTAAAGTCTAAAAAAACTATATATTCTTGTATAACTTCCAAACCAGTGGTTGGGAAACGGTTTAAAGAAAATTTTAACAAACCAACAGGAAAGGAGAGAGGAGCATGAAAAAGCGGGATAAATACAAGGTGTGCTAAGAATCTTTTAATAATAACACTTAAAACTGCACAGCTTTTCCTACTGTGTCATAGAAACCGCAAAATAAGGTTGTAGAAATAAATCCAAATGTTAGGAATCACAATAAATGTAAACGAAGCAAACCTGCTAGTTTAAGATACAAAATCCAGCTATATCCTGTTTGTGAAATATACACCTGCAATATGAGTACACAACACAGTTAAAAGGAAAATAATGCTAACCAATACCAAAATAAACCTCATGTAGTTATATTAATATCAGACCAAATAGACTTAAGGCCAAAAAAAAAAAAGTGTACTAGACCTTGAAACACTTTTCGCAAATTCCCAAGAATTCTTGGTATTAGAGTCCACATTCTCTAAGGAATTCTCAAGAGAATTAAGTTAGAAATCAACAACAAATGAATTTCTTTAAAATATTTACAAATATAATTAGTTTTCTTTTTTTTTCCAAATTAGCAAAATTTTACTTCAATTTGCTCATAAACGACTCTAAAAAGCCGATATGCAAGAGGCCGACACGCTGTGGTCTAAAGGCAACGTCGAGGCCACTGAGAATATCCCTCAGACAAGAGGCTCTGCTCAAAATCTCCCCCATCTGGGGTGAGGGCAGCAGAATGGGGGTCTGGGACAGAGGGATAAATACATCGTCTTAGCTCTGCCATTAGGGCTGGCAGCCCGGGACCCCAAGCTGGTCAATCAGAGGTCGACTGCTTGGAGCTTCCAAAGCTACCCGAATGTTTGGGTGTTTTGGGGAAATACTGAGGCTTTGGGAGGGCCCATGTGCCAGCTGGAAGGGCCCTCGGCCAGCCCCCTCCTCCTACTCCAGCTCCAGGGAGAGCGCAATTCCCTGCTGGCCGGGCCTGCTGTACCCTGGGGTCGAGGCAGCCTCTCACCCAGCAGCCCCTGCCAGGAGGGGGTGGGGAAGGGCATCTCCAGTGAGGCCCAGACAGGAATCTGCCCTAAAGGTGGCTGACAGCGGCCCACCTGTAACAGAGCCCTGCTCCCAAAGGGGCCCCTTGGGGACCAGCCCAGGGGGGTGACCTCCCAGGCACGGGCAGGCCAGGCTGAACCCGGCCGCAGCAGGAGATGTGGGGGAGAGTGGTGTTAACAGACAACAGCAGGAGGGGTGGGTGCAGACAGGGCACGGTGAGTGTGGGGCGGAGCCAGCCCGGGCCCGCCCATCAGAAGGCGAAGGAGCGCTCCTTGGGGTGGCCCACGCTGTCCAGGTTGGGCAGGCAGGCATACTGGATCATGCACGGGGGCCCGCACATCAGCACCAGCGGCTCCTCCTCCAGGGGTGGAAGGTGGTCCCAGATCATCTCCTCGTTCACGAAGCCCTGGCTGTAGTCCCAAGCTTCAGGGGCACTGTCCACCATGTACCAGAGCTTGAAGCACTCAGAATGTTCGTTCTTCAGTTCCTCCAGCTCCGGCCGCAGCAGGAGGTCCTTCTCAGTCTGGTTGGCAAAGCGCAGGTGGCACACGGTGTGATCATCCCTGTCCTTCATGATGGCGCGGATCACCTGTAGCATTGGGGTGATGCCCGTTCCTCCCGCAAACATGCCCACAGACTTCACCGTCTTGATGACAGGGTTGGATTTCTTGTCTGCACAGATGGCAAACTTTCCTTTGCCCTGGTAGACCAGCAGCCCATTTGGGTCTCGGAACTCAATGGTGCCTCCAATCTTCATGCTTTACAGGTACTGGGACATCTGGGACACCCCACCAGCGGGAAACTTGGGGTGGGTGTCTTTGAAGTAAACCTTGATGACCAGGTCCACAAAGCCCTTGTCATCGCTGGAGACAGGCATGTAGGGCAGAATGACCAGGTTCCCATCGATTCAAGCCAAGAGGTAGATGTGCTAGCCCTATGGGGAGGCCCAGGATGTGCTGGGGCGATGGTAGAGCAAAGTGGAACCATCAGGTGTCAAGGCTGATGGCCTCCTTGTCAATCAGCCGCAGCAGGTACTTCATGTCCAGGTTCTCGAGGGTGATGGCTGGAGTGGAGCTTTGGAACAGCTTCATGAGCAGGCTGTACAGGAACCAGACTGGGGAGAGGACCACGTGGCCCAACGTGCTCAGCCGGGCCCCCGTGGTGGCTCCGCTCTGCTCTAGCTCCGCTGCCGCTGCTGTGACCGCCACGCCCTGGGCCTGCGCCCCCCCGCCACGTCACTGAGCCCAAATATAGTTTTTAAGAACACTTCTAAATTACCATGTGTAATTAAAGAAGAAAATGTAATGGAAATTAGAAAATACCAGTGATTTTTTTTTTAATCTGGATGCAGGTTACATGGTGTTCTCACTTTTGAAAATTCATCAAGCATTTATGATTGTTCACTCTTCTGTATATATGTTACACTTCAGTAAAATTTATAAAGAAAAAAAAGACAACAAATCTGTAAAGCAGCTGGGGTGGAAAACACATTAACTTCAAAAGTGTGACAAGGTAAACAGCCTACTTTTCATCAGCAACAAAGGAAACCAGATGAAAGCAAAATGAAATTTTCAATGTGCTGAAAGAAAACTGCCAACCCAACAAAAATATTTCAAGAATGAGGTTGAAATAAAAACTTTTTCAGACAAAGGCTGTATGAGTTTGCCAGCAGCAGCCAACTCACACTAAAGAAAATTCTAAATTATATTGCTTTGGGCAAAAAGAAAGTGATCCCAGATGGCAGGTCAAGATGTAAGAAGGAATAAAGAATAAAGAAGGAGTGAATACATGGGAAAACCTAAACAAACATAGGTTGCATAAAACAATAATAATGTTTCCTGGAGTTAAAAAAAGTGATAGAATTAAAATGTACAACAGAAAAAAAAAAGTCCTCAGGGAGTAAGTGGAGTTAGAGTGTTCCAAGTCCACGATTGTGTGGGACAAAAGTAAAAAACATCGATGAAATCTGCATTTTGAAAAGCATGCATTATAACTTCTAAAGGAATCACTACAATAATAAAAGCAGAATTGTAACTTCCAAATGTTCAGAGGGAAGACAATGATTTTTTTAAAAACCCACAGACAACCTAAAAGGAGGCCAGAGAGGCCAGAGGGGGGATAAAAAGGAACATAGAAAGGGTAAAAATAGAAAGTAAATTAATAGGGTAGATTTAAATCTAGATTTAAGTGTGATATCAATTATTACATTAAATGTAAATGGACTATACACTCCAGCTAAATGTCAGTTTGCCAAACTGGATTTTTAAAAATTTCAACTCTATGTTATTTATAAGAGACACATAAAAACCATTAAAATACAGAAAATTAAAAAATAACAGGATGGGTACGTCCCTGGTGGCGCAGTGGTTAAGAATCCGCCCAACAATGCAGGTACACGGGTTCGAGCCCTGGTCCGGGAAGATCCCACATACCGCGGAGCAACTAAGCCCATGCGCCACAACCACTGAGCCTGTGTGCTGCAACTACTGAAGCCCACGAGCCTAGAGCCTGTGCACTGCAACAAAGAGTAGCCCCCACTCGCCACAACCAGAGAAAGGCTACACGCAGCAACGAAGACCCAACGCAGCCAAAGATAAATATAATTAATTAATTAATTTTAAAACATATATAACAGATGGGGAAAATAACCATAGAAATACCATAAGAAAGCTGGAATTGTTATATTAATATTAGACAACATATGCTTTAAGGCAAAATCATTGCTGGAGATAAAGTGGGACATATTATTATAATAATAATAAAAGATTCATTTCATCAGGAGATAAAAATATTTTTAATTTGTGTGACCCTAATAACATGGTCTCAAAATACATAAAGCAAAATTTGACACAACTACCAGGAGAGATAGTTAAATCCACAGTAATAATGAGCAATTTAAATTCATCTCTCTCAGCAGTTGATAGAACAAGTAAACCAAAAAGTCAGTAAAGATACAGAATATTTGAACTATACAATTAATAAATTTGACCTAATACAATGTAGAACATTGTATTCAGCAACTACAAAATACATTTTTCTTTGAAGCACACACTGGGTTATAAAGCAAGGTTGAAGGCAATAGTTAGTCCCTTTACCAAAATGTTATTTAGTTAGGAATCAATTTTAAAACAATAATAAGAAAAAATCTCCATATTTTGGAAACCAGTTCTAAATAACCCACTGATCAAGGAAGAAATTTTAGGAAAATTATATTTTCGGAAATTTTAGGGAAATTAATTTTTAGGAAATAATTAAATTTTGGAAAATTATCTTGAACTGAGAGATAATGAAAATACTTATTTAAAAACTTGTGCAATGCAGCTAAAGTAGCATTTTGAAGGAAATTTGTAGCCTTAAGTGTATTAATACTAGATATTAAAATATATGCAATATATGTTGCATATATGTAATATGTAATACAAAATTATATATATTGATAAAATATATATTATAAAAGAAAGACTGAAAATAAAGAGCTAAGCATCTGTCTCCAGAATTTAGGAGAAGAACAAAATAAACCTAAGAGTATAGATAGGAAATAATAAAGAGTAGATATGAAGGAAATAGAAAACAAACATTCAAATAAAAAGAATCAACAAGTCAGCTATTTTAAAAGATGAATGAAATTGAAAAACTGCTGGAAATTTTGAGCAAGATGAATAAAAGGCACTAATAGCTATTATTGGAAATGGGGGAAAAAAAGACATTACTGTAGCTTTTGAAACATTAAAAAGATTAGAACAAGGCAAGTGCCACTTCACAAAGTCACTCAGCCCACTTTCTGTCTACCAAGCTGTGTGCCTGGCCCAGAGCTTCATCCACCTCGAAGAGGACTGTCTTTTTCTAATCCACCTGAAGATACCATATGGGCAAGGAGTACTGGATAAAGGGGTATTATGAACAACTTTATGCCAGCAAACTTGAAAACTTTAGGTAACTTGGACAAATTCCTAGAGGGGAAAAAAACTGACTCAAAAGAAATGAAAAATCTGAATTGTTCTATAACTACTAAAGAAATTAAACTAGTCAAAACTCCAGATCCAGATGACTTTATTGGGAAAGTTTTACCAAACATTAAAGAAAAAAAAAGAAGAATTTCACAAACTCTGCCCAAAGAATAGAAAAATAAGAAACATTTCCTTACTCATTTTAGGAAATCAAGCATGTCCCTGAAACAATCTGAGACGAGAAAATTATAGACCAATCTCACTGATGACCATAGATGTGAAAATCCTAAATAAAATTCCAGGAGGTGGGGGGGTGGAGTTGGCAATGTATAGAAAGGACATAACATTGTGACTAAATTGGGTTAAATCCTGGGATGGCAAAATTGGTTTAATACTGGAAAAGCAATCCACTATCTTAAAAGGAGTAAGGGAGGGAAACATATGTGATCATTTCAATAGGTAGGTACAGGTAAAGTATTTGAAAAAAATTAAACATTCATTTATGATTTAAAAGAATAAACAACTCTTAAGCAAACTACAGATATTGACAATAGTGTCAAAAAAATGAAGTACCTAGGATTAAATTTTTAAAATACCATGATTATAGAGTCGCAGTATCAAAGATGCCAGTACTCCTTGTAGTAGGCAGAATAATGCCCACCAAAGATGTCCACATTCTAATCGAAACCTATGAATATGTTAAGTTGCATGGCAGAGGGGTGTTAAGTTTGCAAATGGGATTAAGGTTGCTAATCAGCTGACCTTAAGAGGGAGATTACCCTGAATAACCTGGATGGGCTCAATGTAATCACAATAGTCCTTAAATGTGGAAGAAAGTGACAGAAGAGGAAGAACCAGAAAGTTGCAGTGTGTGAAGGACTCAGCCCATTGTTGCTGGCTTTGAAGATGCAGGACGGGGCCGTGAGCCAAGGACACAGGCAGCCTCTAGAAGCTGGCAAAGGTGAGGAGACAGATTCTCTGCTGGAACCCCCAGAAGGAATACAGACCTGCTGACACCTTGCTTTTAGCATGGTGCGACCCATTCCAGACTTCTGACCTCCAGAACTGTTACGTTAATAAATTTGTGTTGTTTTAACTTGGTGGTAATTTGTTACCGCAGCAATAAGAAACTAATACCCTCCTCAAATTGAATTATAGCTTAAATGCATTCTTCATCAAAATCCCAGTCAGGTTTTTGTGGAACTTGACAAGCGAATTCTAAAATGTACATGGAAGATCAAAGGGCCAAGAATAATAAAGAATCTTGAAGAAGAATAAGATGGGATGGCTTTCTTAGCTGGGCATCAAGACCTACTTAATGGGTAGTGATTCAGACACACAACATAAACAGTGTGATTCCTTTGGGATGAAGTTCAAAAACAGGCTTAAACTAAACTATATTCTTGAGTGATGCTTCCAGAGGAAGGGAAAAACTCTAAAAAGCCAGATGAAGGTTAAGTCAGAACAGGGCTACCTGGGGGAGGGGGAGGAGAGGAGAAGAACCAGGGGAGTGTGGGTTGGGATGCTGCCCGTACTCTGTTTCTTGAGTGGATGGTGGTAACACAGATGTTTGCCTCATAACTCTGTTAAACTGTACATTTCTATTTCATGTACTTTACAGTATGATATTATAATTCCCCCAGTTTAATGTATTACAAATCAGATGATTCTAATTCCAAGCAATCAAAATGGTGGAAAACTCCCCAATTCAGTTTTTGAAGCAGCCAGCACTTGAATACCCAGACCAGTTAAAGATAGGGGAAAAGGGGCTTCCCTGCTGGTGCAGTGGTTAAGAATCTGCCTGCCAATGCGAGGGACATGGGTTCAAGCCCTGGCCCGGGAAGATCCCACATGCCGCGGAGCAACTAAGTCCGTGTGCCACAACTTCTGAACCTGTGCTCAAGAGTCCGCGAGCCACAACTAGTGAGCCCACGTGCCACAACTACTGAAGCCTGCGCGCCTAGAGCCCGTGCTCCGCAAACAAGAGAAGTCACGACAATGAGAAGCCCACGTACCGCAACGAAGAGTAGCCCCCTCTCGCCGCAACTAGAGAAAGCCCGTGCACAGCAACGAAGACCCAACGCAGCCAAAAATAAAAACAAACAAATAAATAATTTTTTTTAAAGATAGGGGGAAAGGGCTTCCCTGGTGGCGCAGTGGTTGAGAGTCCGCCTGCCGATGCAGGGGACACGGGTTCATGCCCCGGTCCGGGAAGATCCCACATGCCGCGGAGCGGCTAGGCCCGTGAGCCAT